CACTGCAGCATTATTCACGTTGGCCAAAACATAGAAACGACCAGTATTCCACGATAAGAGGACTGGGTAAAAAAGATGCAGTACATATGCAGAATGGAATACTACTCAGCCATAACAAAGGATGAAACAACATGGATGGACCTTGAGAATATTATCCTAGGTGAAATGTCAGTCAGAAAAAGCTAAGAACCATATAATTTCACCCATATGTAGGTTATAAAATTAAAACTTGTGAACATGAACAACAGTGTGCCAGAGGGAGGGGGGTGGGGGGGAAGGGGATCTTACTATATGGTGACAGGAGAAGATCTGACTTTGGGTGGTGGACACACAGTGCAATACACAGATGTTGTAACATAGAAACCCACACCCGAAACCTGTATGTTCATGTTGACCAATGCCATTCCAATAAAATTAATAAAAATTAATTAATTAAAAATAAATAAAAGATTCTGCTAAACAAATTATTGGTGTCAAACTACTTTGGAGGAGTGTTGAGATTATGTGAGATATGCTTTCAGGGATTCTGATTAAAATAATCAGCATGTTGATTTCAAACCATCTTTAATTTGTTCATCAAAAGGGTTAGAAGAAAGAACTCTACAGTATTTTCAGTTAAAATCTCGATACAACCTAATAAGGTAGTTGAAAATAATTAAGTAGAAATTGCTATATAAAATATCACAATGTACTATAAAGCTCAAGATAAAACTAATTCTGCTGGGCTAAGAAACCAGACACAAAAGTGGTTATACTTGCCCTAGCCGGTTTGGCTCATTGGATAGAGCGTCAGCCTGGGGACTGAAGGGCCCCAGGTTCGATTCCTGTCAAGGGCATGTACCTTGGTTGCGCCCCAGTGGGAGGTATGCAGGAGGCAGCTGATCGATGTTTCTCTCTCATCGATGTTTCTAACTCTCTATCCCTCTCCCTTCCTCTCTGTAAAAAAATCAATAAAATATATATATTTTTTAAAAAGTGATTATACTGAATGGTTCTACTTTACATGAAGTTCCAGAGTAGGCAAAACAAATCTATGGTGACAATAATCACAAAATTTTGTGGGGGAGGTGAGTAGGGGAGAGTGTGACTGGGCAAGAAGAATTTGACAGAACTATTCCTTATTTTGATCCCTACCTACCTCAAAACATATGTGAAAATAAATTCCAAATGAATTAAACATTCTAATGTAAAAATAAAACCATAACTATTAGCTCTACAATGTAGAATATTTTCTATATGTTAAAAACACAACATAAAATCTAGAAAACATACAGAATAGGCTGACAGCACTGCCTAAATTAACAATTAAAACTGTAATGATCAAAACACCACAAACAAGTTAAGTCAAATGACAGACTGGGAAAGAAACAATTGCAACATTTTATAGAGTCCTTAGAAGTCAACAAGACAAACAACCCAGTAGAAAAAATGGGCAAAGGGCATGGAAAGGCAATTTGGTAAATACAGATGGCCCATTATCAGAAACTGTCTAATCTGTGAAGAAATGCAAATGAAAACCTTACCTGCAGAGAAATGCAGATAAATACAACAAAATATCTTTCTTCTACATAAGTGGTAAAAATAAAAGATAATACCCAGTGTTAAGTGAGAGTTTAAAGAAATAAGCACATCCCCTCACATTGTTAGGTGAGAGACTGACCAGCACAGACTGTTGGAATAACTGTTATAAAATAAAATGCACATATCCTTTGACCACAAAATTTTACTTCTAATTATCAAAAAATATATTTCTTTAACCACAGAGGCATTTCTGGTTTATGGCAGCACTGAAAATTGGATATGCTGACTGAAAATTGGAAAAGAATCTCAACATTCTAGTGCCAAGGAGACTGATGAGCTACATATTGTTGTACATCATATGAAAGATTACTATTAACCTACTTAAAAAGAATAAGGTCTTTTACTTGTAGAACTTGGAAGAATGTCCTTAACATGTTAAGCGAAAAAAGCAAATCCAATCCTATCCTGTCCTGTCCTATCCTATACAACCTATATAATAAAAGGGTAACAGGCAAATTGACCCTAACACAGTGGTTCTCAACCTTCCTAATACAGTTCTTCATGTTGTGGTGACCCCCAACCATAAAATTATTTTCGTTGCTACTTCATAACCGTAATTTTGCTACTGTTATGAATCGTAATGTAAATATCTGATATGCAGGATGTATTTTCACTGTTACAAATTGAACATAATTAAAGCATAGTGATTAATCACAAAAACAATATGTAATTATATATGTGTTTTCTGATGGTCTTAGGTGCCCCCTGTGAAAGGGTTGTTCGACCCCTAAAGGGGTCGCGACCCACAGGTTGAGAGTCACTGCCCCAAAAGCATAACCACAGGGAACTATCAGTCGCTATGACACGCACTGACCACCAGGGGAGTGTCGCTCAGCCAGGAGCTGGCTCAAGGCTGGCCAGTACAGCAGCAGTGGCTGGAGCTTCTCCTGCCTCCACAGCAGGGCTAAGGATGTCCGACTAAGCCAGCAGGTGGACATCCCCTGAGGCCTCCCGGGCTGCCAGAGAGATGTCTAACTTCCAGCTTAGGCCCAATCCCCCAGGGAGAGGGCATAAGCTGTCAGTAGGACATCTCCCAAGGGGTCCTGGACTGTGAGAGGGCGCAGGCCGGGCTGAGGGACCTCCCCCCTCTCCCCTCCCCCACCACGGCCCACCCAAGTGCACGAATTTCCATGCACTGGGCCTCTAGCTATAAAATATTTTGTAGAGGAGCTAGCTGGTTTGGCTCAGTGGATAGAGCATCAGCCTACAGACTGAAGGGTCCTGGGTTCGATTTCAGCCAAGGGTACATTCCCGGGTTGTGGGCTCGATCCCCAGTAGGGGATGAGGAGGCAACTGATCAATGATTTTCTCTCATCATTGATGTTTCTCTCTCTCCCCTCTCCCTTCCTCTCTGAAATCAATAAAAATAAAATAAAATATTTTGTATAGGACCCTTTTCTTGTTAATCTTCACCCTAGGATATTTTTTCCATTGATTTTTAGAGAGAGTGGGAGGGAGAGAGGAGGAATAGAGGAGAGAAAGAGAGAGAGACAGACAGACACACCAACTGGATGAGACACACCAACTGGATGCCTCCACACACACCTGACCACACATACCTGCAACCCAGGTAAGTGCCTTTGACTGGGAATTGAACCCTCCACCCTTAGGTGCATGGGCCTATGCTCTAAGCCAGCGGTTCTCAACCTGTGGGTCGCGACCCCTTTAGGGGTCGAACGACCCTTTCACAGGGGTCGCCTAAGACCATTGGAAAACACATATATAATTGCGTATTAAAGGGTCTCGGCATTAGGAAGGTTGAGAGCAACTGCTCTAAGCAATGAGTGATTGATACCGGCCAGGGAAGGACCTATTTTTTATAAAGCAAAGAAGAATACATTTACATAGATGTGTTTGCATCTTGATGTTTTTATTTTTAAATGACTGCATACACACAGAAAAGTCTCGGAAAGCATGCCCAACCTTTTATTAGATTTCCTCCTTACTAAGAAGGAACTTTTTTACATTTTACTTAATGCCAAGTCTGTATTTTCAAAAACCTTAGTATAATTTTTTTTTGAGGAGGTTAATCCTCATCTGAGGATATTTTTCTTTGGATTCTTATTCCTTGGATTTTTTTTTTAAAGAGAGAGTGGAAGGGAGGGGGAGACACAGAGAGAGGGGAACATCGATGTGAGAGACACATCCATTAGTTGCCTTCCACATTCACCCCGACCAAGACTGGGGATGAGCCTGCAACTGAGGTATGTGCCCTTGACCAGAATCAAACCTGGGACCCTTCAATCCACGGGCTGATGCTTTATCCACTGACCCAAACCGGCTAAGGTAGTACAATTTTTTTTAATGGAAAAGGAAAGCAAAAAGAAGATTCAAAAGCTCCCACTACGATTGTCTTTTTCTGTTGATTTTCCAGTACACTTTCCCTTGGCAAAGACATTTACTTGGACAAAGGCAAAAATACACAATGTATCATGGACCACAGAAGTGACTTCATTCCAAAGTGAGGTCACAACTGCAGCTCTCCCACAGCTTACACCACACAGTGTGGCTGACAGTGGTGCCTGCTTCTTGGACATTTCAAACCCAGTTCTTTCTTCATCCCTGGCCAAGTAATATAAATATTTAATTTGATTTGGAGCCTGAGCAAAAAGCCTCCAATCACCCAAGGGACCATTCAGAACAGTCCAAATGCCCAATTTTAACAGATTCTTTCTTAAAACAGTAGTTGAATGTTAATAAATTACTGAGTAATTACCGAGGGGAAAGAAAAACAAGGAAGATAAAGCCCCTGTCCTCAACAATCTGGTTATGACACGTTGCAGAATGACATAAGCAAGATATAAGGTCCTGGCAGTGTAGAGGACCTAAGGAGTCATGAGTTGCTATTGGTAGTTTCAGAAGTTGTTGCTTGATGAACTAGGACATGAATACAGACAGATAGGAAAGAAGAGTGGGCAGAAAACAGAAGGCCAAGAGAATGAAACACATTTTTTGCAGCCTGATGAAAGCCCAGAATGTAGGGGAGGAAGGTAGTGGCGGACGAAGTGGGAAAGAGAGGTTTGGGTCAGATCATGAGTGTCATTAGTGCTATGTGGAAAGTGGTTTTTATACAGCAGGTAGTTTTTTAAAGTAATGTCTATAAAAGTGACCACTCTATTTTGGTCAGGAAGCATTTAAAAGGGAAGTTAGTTTCCGAACATCACAGCAATAGTAGACTCAAGCCGTCCTAAATACTCTTTTTGAAGGAAGGTGAAGGGCCCGGATAAGCAAAGGCTGCTGAGAAATCTAGAGGAAAATGAGTAAAGGTGTAAATGCCCCTTCCACCCTCTGAATTCCCAAGTATCACAGAAACAAAATACAATATGTCCCAAACACAACCAAGTAAATGAGGCCTATTAGCAAAGGAAGTAGTTTTGAAGAAAGCTCAACATTAGCAGTGATCATAAATTCCTTGATACCTTTGCTAGATCTTTTTGATGTCTTCTTGTTTCCTTCAGAGGTAATTTCAATTTCATCAGGATTACCCCCTTCATCTTCAATTGCCTAAAGGAAAGGTAAATGGAAAAAAAAATTTCACCATGAAAGTCAACAAAGACTTGACTTTCACAGAAGCTTGGGGCCAATGATTTGGAGGTGCATCACCTCCACCCTTTCCATTTTTCTCTTGCTCTACACACTGAAGCAAGGGCTCTGGAGTTAGACTCTAACAGTTCTAAGCTGTGTGGTCTTAAGGAGATTTACTTAATCTGTTTTCTACTCCATAACATGGGGTTACATAAAAATACAGTACTTACCTTTAAAAGCTGTGTGAGAACTCTATCACCCATGTAAAGCAAGCACTGAACAAACATTCGCCTTATTTTTAACATTACCACCACATTCTGGGTTATCCTACTCCCGGGCTCAATGGAACTAAAAAAAAAAACGGAAAGGCACCCTCTCCACTTTCCTGACTTCACCCAGCAATGTGCTATCTGACCTCAGGGACCCCTCTCCATGCCACGCCTGCACTCGACACTGTCTGTATAGAATACAATTCACTGGCTGAGTTCCTACCGTGTGTTGGCACGGAACAAGACATGACATGTAGTACCTCATCTATGACTGACTCTAAAGGTCTTGCTCTCTGCCACTAAGAGACTCACCTCAAAGGATACAGAATTATAAGAAGCTCTTGGTAAGCCCAGCCTCCCACCCCAGGAACTTGTCATTCACTTCAACAGCCCCACCCACACTCAGCAAATCAGTACTGAACATGTCAATGATGACATCCCTGAAAACTGGGCTTCAGGTTCAGGATTTACTAATAACCCTTTCTCTTTTTACTGTACTATCCAATGAGCATAATTTTCTTATAAATCCAATTCAAATACTGCATTTTATTTGTATACCGTTTCAGATTCTCAGGAGTTTCCAGCTTGCTACCTGAATTTAGAATGGGACTTGGGGGGTCCTGCACCTACCTAATCTGTATCAGGAGCAAAGACAATCTCTCCTGTCTCTCTGAAGCCAGATCTAGAAAAAAATCAAAGTGCTGCCCTGGGATCAAGGAACAGACAACCAGAAAGCCCCTAACCCTCTTAGCTAGGGACAGACAATTCTGGACCACTAAGAGACTAGAAGAGCTGCTCAAGACAGGAGGTGTACACTTCACCCTCACTGTCTCATTGGGGTGGAGTGTTTACAGGGTCATCTCTATGGGGACTGAAGGCTCTGAGTCATCCTTGTAGGCAAATTAACTTTGTTGCGTGTTCCCTCCATCTTTTCCTCTTTTGCCCTTTCAGGAAAAATAAACCAAGGAAGGGATACAAACTGGATGACAGAAGTGGAAGAGAAAGAGAAGATCAACAATAATTCCAGACTTGCTTGGGCATGTAGTAGATGAGTTCATAGGCTCACGGTATTTATGTAGTGCCCACGTCCTTGAGAAACTGAAAGGAGGGAAAAGGTGGGATGGATTTGTCCCCTCAAAGGTGACAGTGATGGAAGATTCCTGAAGTCACACCAGTCTCAGCCACCAGCCTGACAGGAGGGTTCAATCCCATCTTAGCTCTGCAGGCTTGCAGACTGTCTGGGAGGAAAAAAGTATAAAACACCCAATTCAGTTTTGTTGCCAGGAGGCTCTGGTGGCTAAGAACATGGACTACATCTTCCCAAGTGCCAACCCTCACACCCTCGTTGCATTTTCTCCAGGTAAACATCTTGGTTAATGAACGGCCTGCCCTGAATAAAGGAATTTAGTGTTCATAGTGAATAAAAGTTAAGGAAGTTAGTATCCATAATGAAAGAATATAAGCTCTAGTTAGAAAGGCCCCAACTGGCTCTGGGCATATCACCTCACCACTCTTGAGCCTGAGCTTCCTTATCTGGAAAAATAGGAAAAAAATACCTACTTTCTCTCAATAGCAATCAAAATAAAACCCCAATCCTCAGTTGTTTGGGAGCCAGGGTGGAATGAGTCACAAACCACATTATCTGTAGGGGATGGAGACAGGGGTGAAGGCTGAGAGGGTCTCAAGACACGAGGAGCCTGGCCGGGGCTCAGTGGTTGACGTTAACCTATGAACCAGGTCACCGGTTCAATGCCGGGCGGGGCTGCCGGCTCCATCCCCGGTAGGGGGCGCGCAGGAGCAGCCATCAATGATTCCCTTTCATCATTGATGTTTCTACTTCTCTCTCCCTCTCTGAAATGAAAAAAACAAGAAGACCTAGGTGGGGAAAAGGTTAAAAAAAAGGAAGCGAATAACAAAAACGTAAGGGATGCAAACACTGACTTAACTCCGCATTTTTCACACCTATCCTTCAGTACCCCGTAAAGTAAGGGATTACAGCCCCCATTTTGGAAATGACAGAGAGGAAAAAATGACTTGTGACAACGATCAGATCCCCGGTGTTTACATGTGCCAGGCAACATGCTAAGGCCTTTCAGGCCACCTCACTTAGTCCCCGGAACAAAAGCACCATGTTTTCCCTCTTTTTACACAAGCAGCAGCAGGCTCAGAGAGGATTAAACGTCTTCCATGCGAAAGATCCAGCCCCCGAGACCCGACAGAGCCCTAAGCCCAGGCGCACACCCTGCCTTTCGGGGTGAGCCATCTCGGTGTCCCCCAAGTCTGCCTTTTACATTTCTGATCACTCTTGCAAACAACACTTTCCCTTCCGTGTTATACCCCCGAGCTAGGGATGGCAAACCCCAGATTGTTTTTTTTCCCCTTTAAATATCTTCTTGACATGCTCGCTTTATAAATTAACCTCCCATTCAAGGCTTGTTGGCCCTAATGGAACAATCAACATCCATCTTTGTCGAAAAGACTCCCGCGGCCAGCGAGGGCACAGGGGCTCAGCGGGCCTGGGTTCCAATCCCGTCGCCTCCTCTCCCCGACCGTGTGACCTTGGCCGGGTCCCCCGATTCCCCCAGGAAGTGAGGATTTCAGGGCTCCCCGTCCACTTGGGGGAAGCTGGGAAGAGACAACGAGAGGAAAGCCCTCCGCGAAGTGGCTGCTGCGGAAAACAGGATCTCGGTCGATGTCACCCGCCATCTAGAGCTGCGCGGCTACCGCCGCTTCCCCCGTCGCGTCACATTTTCTCTTCCTCGCCCCATTGCGGCGCTAGGGTTTGCACCTGGGCCTGGCTGGGCTCGCAGCCCCCGCAGGGGCCTAGGAGGAGCAGGGAGAAGCACGGAACGCCAGGCCGCAAATGGGGCCGGAGGCGGGCCCTGGCACCAGAGAAACACTGTTGCGGCTGCGGGAGTCCCACGACCCCGAGGGCCCGGCTCTACCTTTCTGAGCCTCTCCATCAGAACGCTCTTGTTGCCGCTCGAGTCCAGGTTCCGTTTCTTCAGCTCCGCCCGCAGATCGATCACCCGCAGGTCGCTGAGGCGCCGCGTCCCTGTCTCAGACGAGGCGGTGCTCAGAGCCGCAGCTCCCGCCGCACCCGAATCGCCTAGGCCTGAGAGAGTCTCCGCCATTCCAGGGACCCGGGCTCTGCCACCCACTTCACACAGAACCGGGCCGGGGTTCTCTCAGCTCCTAGCACAAAATGGCGCCGCCTGCCAGAGAACTGCTCCAGCGCCCCGGCTCGCCTCGCTTCTGCGCAGGCGCACCTGGCGCAGGCCCGGTACTCTGTAGCGTCTGCAAATGCGTGGTGAGCGCCTTGGGGGATGTGCGCAGGCGCGTTGCGTCTCTCCAGCCTCCCGCTGCGAAAGGCCGGGACGCATGCGTGTTGTCTATACGGCGCCTGCGCGTAGTGTCTGGGAACGCGCGGTTGGTCGGCGCACTAGCCCGTGGCTGCTAAGAACGCCTGCACAGCCGGAAAGCGGGGCGGGAGGAAGTGATTGCGTTTTCCTCTTAGGCGGCGCCATTTTGTGCTCAGAGCCGCTACAGCCGCTGGCGGTGTGGGGAGTAGGTGCCGGAGACGGGGAACTCGGGATGGCGGAGACCCTGGCAGGCTCTGGCGACTCGGGTTCTGGCACGGCCGCGGTTGGTCCGGGCGCCTCGGAGGCGGGGACGCGACGGCTCAGCGAACTGCGGGTGATCGACCTGCGGGCGGAGCTGAAGAAGCGAAACCTGGACACGGGCGGCAACAAGAGCGTCCTGATGGAGCGACTCAAGAAGGTGAGGGGGCTCGGGGCACGGGGGTGGCGCAGGAGGTCGGGGTGCGCCCCCGAGTGGACCTGTCACCGCGACCTCTGGACCCGGGCGTCTGCGGCCCGCCTCCCTCTTGGCGGACCCCCCGGCCTGAGCTGTCCGGGACGTGGGGGCCTGGCTGTGTGACCTTGGCCCGTGATCGTCCCTCTCTGTGCCTTGGTTTCTACCAGGTCGTCGCCTCAAGTGGGCTGGCAGCCTGCCTGCCTTAGACGCTAGGGTGGCCCCGACTCCTCCCAGGCCCGAGTTTTAGGTTGGGCGCTGTGACCTTGTACGAGTGCCTGTGTGTCTCTGAGCCTCAGTTTCCCTCCCTGGAGAACAGATGACTGAAGGACCTTTGGGATCTTGCAGGAAAGGGAGCTGTGCTTGTACCTGCCCCAGTGCCTCGGCACTTACCATACCCGACGCCAGACTGCTCTTCTCGCGGGTGGCCTGGCCGACCCCCTGTCTTTTGGATCTGTTTGAGATGTCACCTTCAGTAACGTGCAGCTCCCCCTCCCCCACTTTCTCCTGTCATCCTCTGTTTATTCCCCTCAACACCACACATAACACAAACTTGAAAATGGGGGATTGTCGTGTCTCCAACCAGAACAAACTTCTTAAGGGGGGCGCGGGGGGAGCTGTGAGTTTACTGTGAGCCCCAGCCTTGTGCCAGGCAGGAGGGAAGCACCGAGGTACCTTCCCCAACCCGATCTGTCTGTCCTCCCTCCCCGCGCTCGCCCAGGTCAAAGATGGCTTGCTTGGTGGACCACCGTTCAGAGCCCATTGCCCATGGAGACCAAGTACAAGCCTCTTGTTATTATTTGTTATATTAACTTAAACTAGAAGGTTGGGCAGTTTCAAGGTTAGGGGCCAATTTGGAACTGGTCATTGACCCTGATTCTGAACACCCTTTCACACACCTTTTTTTTTAGGGGTTGGGGGTGTGAGGAGGGGCAGTGTCGTGTGGCGTGCAGAGAGAACCAAGTTGTGCTGGGTTCATCCTGTGTCTTGTGGGCTTGAAGCCCAGATAGCAGAACCAGACTTGCTCTTTGCAAGGAAGAGTTAGAAGTTGTTACTTAAAAACAACAATGTGTGCCCTGCAGCTCTTGACAATGTAAAATCCATCTCTTCCTGACAGGCAGTTAAAGAAGAAGGGCAGGATCCTGATGAAATTGGCATCACATTGGAAGCCACGAACAGGAAGACAGCAAAGAGATGTGTTAAAGGTATCCACCTGTACTTCCTGCTGCTAGAGGTCCGAGTGTTAGGGAGCTCACTTACTTAGAGACCTGGTTTTTTAGCGCTCTTTCTGCCCTCCAGGCCTGGAAGAGAATGTCTTCAGCTGTCATTGTTCTCCATCTCCTAATTAGGCCTGCTCTTCACCAGCTAACAAGTGACTCTCTGGGTGCTGGAGGAGGACACCAAGTAAAATTAAAATACATGCTAAAAACATCTCAGTTCTTGCCATTGGTATTGAAAAAGAACTAAAGTAAGACACTCTAAAAGCTGTCCTGACTGGTTTGAGCACCTGCTTTGGCTTCCTTCCTGGTTTAAAAAAATAGGACTTAAGGAAAATGACAACAACCCAAGACCAAATAGAACTCAGCTTCTCTATGGTCCAAAATAGATTGTCAGAGTATTTGTATCCAGCCTATGTTTTTACTAGTGTGATTTTTTAAAAATTAAGATATAATTCAAATTCTATAGAATTCACCTAAAGTGTACAATGCAGTGCTTATTTACAAGACTGTGCAGTCATCACCAGTGTCTAATTCTAGGTATTTTCATGACCTCCGTGCCCACTAGCAGTCACTCCCCATTTTCCCAGCCCTCAGCCCTTGGAACTAATTGACTTTGTCCCTTAGATTTGCCTATTCTGGACATTTCATATAAATAGAATCATACAGTCTGTGGCCTTTTCTGTCTGCCTTCTTTCATTGAGCGTTATGTTTTCAAGATATATTTACGGCATGCCCCTACATTAATTCCTTGATGGATAATACCTGTTACTTTTTGGAAGGACTTAATTTCAGAAAACTTTGAAACCTTACTCTCCTTATTGTAGGGAGGAATTACTTATTGGATTAAAGTGATCAAGAGGATTTAACCAAATGTCCTCATTATTAGGTTTTACAGTGATAAGGACAATATAATTCAGGCAGTAGAGGACAGTTGTTTAGAAAGTCAAAAGAAATTAATTTGTAGCATTTTCAACAATTTCAGTTTACTTTTTAAGTAGATTTTCCTGGAAGGAAAACTTTTCTATAACGTATCTAACTTTTAAAACTTGTATGGTATAAGTGTTTTGAAATGTTACATTTTTTAGTTAGGTTTCATAAAGAGAGCTACATTATGTTTAATTTTAAAACATTGATTTTTTTTTGCTATTGTATCGATCCATACTTCACTATGAACACGGACTGTCCAAATGAATACAGACTATGAGAGACTGGTCTACAGCAGGAAACATACAATTACTTCTGTTTTTTAAAATATATATATATTTCGCCGGAACCGGTTTGGCTCAGTGGATAGAGCGTCGGCCTGCGGACTCAAGGGTCCCGGGTTCGATTCCGGTCAAGGGCATGTACCTGGGTTGCGGGCACATCCCCAGTGGGAGGTGTGCAGGAGGTTTCATAAAGAGAGCTACATTATGTTTAATTTTAAAACATTGATTTTTTTTTGCTATTGTATCAAAAATCAATAAAATATATTTAAAAAAAAAAAAATGTTACCTCAATAAAGTTTCCTGACCTTTCTTTAAAAAAAAAAAAAAAAAAAAAAAAAATATATATATATATATTTTCATTGATTTCAGAGAGTAAGGAAGGGAGAGAGAGATAGAAACATCAATGATGAGAGAGAATCATTAATCGGCTGCTTCCTGCATGCCCCCTACTGGGGATCAAGCCCTAAACCCAGGCAAGTGGCGTGACCGTGACTGGGAATCGGACCATGACCTCTTGGTTCATAGGTCTCACTGAGTCATACCAGCCAGGCAACAACTATGGTCTGAAAGCCTGTTTTAAGATAGCTATAAAATAACTTAAATTAGTTTAAAAGTTTTTAATGTAGATGCTCACTTAAAACTGTTGAGGTTTAAGGTTTATGAATCCAAATGTTCTTGGCTCCTAACGGGGATCTTTACATCATTAGACAAACTGAACCTTAGCCAGGTGTTTTAAAAATCTATCTGAATGTCTGGATTAAAGCTTATGTCAAATCAAAACTACATGGAATTAGTATTTTGTCTGGAAAGCTTTGGTAGTAGTTCATTTGTATAGAGAGAATGCTTATACCAACACTAGAGGCCCAGTGCACGAAATTTGTGTATGGGTAGGGTCCCTAGGCATGGTCGGCGATCAGGGCTGATCAGGGCCTTCCTTCATTCTGTGCTGCCCCCTGGTGGTCCATGCACATCATAGCGAGCGGTTGAACTACCGAGGGGATAATTTGCATATTAGCCTTTTCTTATATAGGGTAGCTCTAGCAATGGTCCCTTCCTCGTTTTCAGAACCAATGCCCAGAGAAGGAACAGGTAGGTGGTCTGAGTCCAGGGACAGAGGATAGTACCTATAGGTTGTTGAGCTAGCATATCCTTTGGAGGTGTTTGGGCTCCCGGTTAGTGATTTGAAGTATTTCATCATCATGGTGTCCTAGTTGAAATTAGGTCCTCAAGATTACATAAAAGTCATCAGGAAGAATTAACCAATTGTTTTCCAGAGTCTGCAAGAGTGGGACTAATTCTGGGAAGTCAAGAGTGACTGTTGCCTTTCAAAAGTAAAGAGTAGCTAAAATTGTGGAAGACGTCTGGATGTGTTTTGAAAGATTAAATTTTGGAATTAGGTTTTATGTGAGAAACTAAAATTTGATTTTCTAGTTTCTGTTCTGTTGCCCCCCCACAACCCCCGTTTCAGCTTTTAGTCAGCAGAGGCCAGACCCTTGAGATTGGGGTACAGCTTATCTGATCAGTATTTGTCATTCCCACTCTTATTTAGGGCACTTTTTGGTGAAGCTTTAGGGTGTGCATTTTTCTTGTTTACATCCTGTGTGTGTACTGCAGGCTACTATTTAGAGGCCTAGAAATTGGTTGCAACTGCCAAACATTTTTAGACAGTGTATTTCAAAGGGTATGCTGGGCTTAGATATAATGGGAAGTGGTACAGCTGAGTTTTTGAGTCCCAGCTTTGGAGCTGAACCAAATTCTTTTTTTTTTTTTATTCTTTTTAAAAATATATTATAATAAGTATTACAAACGGTATTACATATGTGTCCTTCCCCCCCTGAACCAAATTCTTATGTGTCAAATTCAGATAATAAACCTGCTAGCGTTGTGGGGAGTATTAAATAATAAGATGTGGAGAGTACGGTATCTGACATATAAAACTACATTTCTTGAGTGGTTACTGATGATAATGATAAATGAAATACTTAAGGTGTAAACATTGCAGTTTGAATCTTTAGTCAGTTTCTGTCCTGGCTAGGGCCTCAGTTGGTGGTAGCATCATCCCATACACCAGAGGTTCTCAATCTGGGGGTCAAACGACCCTTTCACAGGGGTTGCCTAAGACCATCGGAAAACACATATATAATTACACTAGAGGCCTGTTGCACGAAAAGATTCGTGCAATAGGCTTTCCCTTCCCCTGGCTGCCGGCACCGGTTTTCTCTGGCACCTGGGACCCAGGCCTTCGCTCTGGCCGGAGCCGCCTTCAAGCCTTCGCTGCCCCGCCCGGATGCCCTGGGCTGGGTCGCACACGGGGCGCCCAGGCGGGCCGGCAGATTGCTACTGCCCTGCCCGGCCGCCCCGGGTCGGGTCGCACATGGGACGCCCGCTGCCCCGGGTCACAGATAGCAGGCCCGGATGGCGGCAGGGCAGGTGGGATGGTGCTGTCCCACCCTGCCTGCAGTATGCAAATTAGCCGCCATCTTTGTTGGCGGTTAATTTGTATATTGCGCTGATTAGCCAATGGGAGGTGTAGCGAAGGTGCAGTCAATTACCATGTTTGTCTATTATTAGATAGGATATTGTTTTTGTGATTAATCACTGTGCTTTAATTATGTGCAATTTGTAACAATGAAAATACGTCCTGCATATCAGATATTTACATTACGATTCATAACAGTAGCAAAATTACAGTTATGAAGTAGCAACGAAAATAATTTTATGGTTGGAGGTCACCACAACATGAGGAACTGTATTAAAGGGTTGCGGCATTAGGAAGGTTGAGAACCACTGCCATACACCAAAAGGTTGGGGTTTGATTCCCAGTCAGGGCAAATACCTAGGTTGCAAGTTTGATCCCCGTTAGGTGCCTATGGCTGGCAACAGATCCATGTTTTTCTCCCTCCCTCCCTTCTTCTCTCCTCCTTCCTCTCTCTCGAAAATTAATAAAAACATATCTTCAGGTGAGGATTAAAAAAAAAGATTGAGGTTTCTTATGTTTAATTTTTTTATTTAAAGATTATGAAAATATTTTTCAATAATTTGGAAGATGTAAAAAGTATGTATATAAAAATAAAATTATTTCTAATTATACCACTCCATATTTTAACCATTGTTGTTGGTTGCTTCAGTCATCTCCATCTGTATGCATCTTCACGCTTGCATGTATACAAACATTCATGTGCTTTTTAAAAGGAGATCTACATGGTTTTGTTTCTTTTTTTACTTTTTAAATTTTATTGATTTACTTTAGAGAGAGAGAAGAGGAAGGAAGAGAGAGAGACATTGATTTTTGTTCCATTATTCATGCATTCATTGTTTGATTGTTGTAAGTGCCCTGACCAGGGGTCAAACCCACAACCTTGGCATATTGGGATGATGCTCTAACCCAGTGGTTGGCAAACTGCGGCTCGCGAGCCATATGCGGCTCTTTGGCCTCTTGAGTGTGGCTCTTCCATAAAATACCACCTGCAGGCATGTATGTACAGTGCGATTGAAACTTCGTGGCCCATGCGCAGAAGTCAGTATTTTGTGGAAGAGCCACACTCAAGGGGCCAAAGAGCCGCATGTGGCTCGCGAGCCGCAGTTTGCCAACCACTGCTCTAACCAACCTGAGCTACCCGGCCAGGGCCTCTTTTTTTTAACTTTATGGGAATTTTACCATATTAAATATTCTTTTTTTTTTTTTTTAATATATTTTATTGATTTTTTACAGAGAGGAAGGGAGAGAGATAGAGAGTTAGAAACATCGATGAGAGAGAAACATCGATGAGAGAGAAACATCGACCAGCTGCCTCCTGCACATCTCCCACTGGGGATGTGCCCGCAACCCAGGTACATGCCCTTGACCGGAATCGAACCTGGGACCTTTCAGTCCGCAGGCCGACGCTCTATCCACTGAGCCAAACCGGTTTCGGCCATATTAAATATTCTTGAGAGCTTATTTAAGTTACAAGACATTGTATGGTGTACCACAGGGTTTCACAACCTTAGCACTGTTAACTATTTAGAGTAAATAATTCTTTGTTTAGGACGCTGTCCTTGCAATGTGGTATGATGAGCAGCATCCCTGGTCACTCACTTCCACTAAATAGATGCCAGTAGCACACACACCCCAGGTCTGATGCCCTCCTAAATGTCTCTAGATATTGCCAGGTTACACCCCACTCTCCCCATTGACTCACATGCTGGTATCCACGTATGAACATTCTAGTGCATGTCCTAAGGGGAGCACGTACATTTTTTCAGGCCTTGCCTTTCCCTCTAACCCAGCGGTTCTCAACCTATGGGTCGCAACCCCTTTGGGGGTCGAACGACCCTTTCACAGGAGTCGCCTAAGACCATCGGAAAACACATATATAATTACATATTGTTTTTGTGATTAATCACTATGCTTTAATTATGTTCAATTTGTAACAATGAAATTGGGGGTCACTACAACATGAGGAACTGTATTAAAGGGTGGAGGCATTAGGAAGGTTGAGAACCACTGCCTAACCCCTTGGGAATACCTAGCATTAACTGTAAATAACTCGGATTTTATGGTAGCCTTTGCCTCACAGATAAAAGTTCCAGAGCTGAAGACTGATGAAAGGCAGGCAGCCTGCTTGAAATGGTGGAATGTAGGGAAGGCCAGCAAGTTTATAATCCAGAATGTTATTTGAAGTTGCATTTCTTTAATTACTAGATGGATATTACATTTTTAAAATTATATTTGTTGGAAAATGCCTGTTATCCTTTGCTCTTCTTTTGGGATGTTTGTTTTACTTTGGAGTGGTTTTGAAATTTTTTGAAGCGCTTAGGTATTTTGTTAAAAATCAAATGCTTTTGTTTGATAGTATTACAGAAATCCTAGATATTCATATCCTGATGGAGACAAAATTGCACACATTAAAACAGGCACTTTGCCTGACTGGCTCTGTGGTTGAGTGTCTACCTATGAACCAGGAGGTCATGGTTCAATTCCCGGTCAGAACACATGCCTGGATTGTGGGCTCGACCTCCAGTGTGGGTTGTGCAGGAGGCAGCCGATCAATGATTCTCTCTCATCATTTTTGTTTCTTTCTATCTCTTCCTCTCCCCTCCTCTCTGAAATCAATAAAAAAATTTTTTTTAATTAGCAGAATACTTTAAAAAACCCCAGAAAACAAAACAGGCACATCTTCTAGTTTCCTTGTAACATGTTCTCTCTAAGATTGAAATCTATCATTCTGCTAAACTAATTATAAGGCTAGACCTGAGTGTTATCTGATTGAACAATTATTCTGTAATTAGGACAGAAGATAGAGGAAGAAGGCACAGAAGATAATGGCCTAGAAGAGGATTCCAGAGACGGGCAGGTATGTGGCATGACAGTGGAGACAGCAGCAGGAGCGCTGAGTCCTGGTCTACCTGGTCATTGATACTTCTCGTTCCTCTTTATAGGAGGATGTGGAAGCAAGTTTGGAGAGCTTGCAGAATATTGACATGATGGATGTTAGTGTGTTAGAAGAAGCTGAAGTCGAGAACAGCAGTGCCCCAGACTTTGGGGATGATGGCACAGACAGCATCCTCGATTCCCTTTGTGATAGCAAAGAGTATGTGGCTGCACAGCTGAGTGAGCTTCCAGCTCAGCTCACAGAACATGCTGTAGGTAACACTAAGACACGTGGAATGTGGCAGGAGGCCCAAGGCTCCCAGTGCTTATGTGCTGTTTATATGAGCAAGATCATGCTAAGGGTTGGTTGATTAAATAGCAAGCAGCAAAATCAGTCACCATAAACATTTAATTTAGGAACTGAACCTTGGTGGTAAATTCTGTCCATTTAAACTCAACATAGGTCAGATATTAATTAATGAATAACTTCTCCGTTAATGTTTCTGTAGTATTGGAGACTATTTCTAATTGGGTGAGAGACACTTTCTAAGCATAAGCCATAAACGGTTGCACAGTTAATAAAAGTATTTTCCTTTTAAAAAAGTAGGTAAAAAACTAGAAAGATAAAACAAAAACAGTGTATAACTTCATCATCCAGATAATCTTATAGATGTTTTAGAAAGTTTACACTATGCATAAGAATAGACAGTCATGCCCTGGCCGGTTTGGCTCAGTGGTTGAAGCATCAGCCCACTGACTGAAGTGTCCCGGGTTCATTTCCAGTCGGGGGCACGAATCTTGGTTGCAGGCTCAATCCCTGGCCCCAGTAGGGGCGCATGAGGGAGGCAGCCAACCGTTGTGTCTCTCTCACATCAATGTCTCTCTCTCTCTCTCTCTCTCTCTCCCCACCCCCCTCCTCCTTTCCACTCTCTAAAAATCAGTGGGAAAATATCCTTAGGTGAGGATTAACAACAAAAAATAATAATAGCCCTAGCTAGTTTGGCTCAGTGGATAGAGCGTCAACCCTGGGACCAAAGGGTCCTGGGTCCAATTCCAGTTAAGGGCACGTACCTCAATTGCAGGCTCAATCCCTGGCCCTGGTCAGGGTTGGAGCAGGAGGAAAACAAACATTGTGTGTCTCTCCTCCTCCTACTTCCCACTCTAAAAATCAATTGCAAAATATTCTCAGGATTAACAACAACAAAAAGAATAGTTGGTCACCCTCGCTGGTTTGTCTCAGTGGATAGAGCGTCAGCCTGCGGACTGAAGGGTCCCAGGTTCGATTCCAACCAAGGGCACATGCCTGGGTTTCGGGCTTTATCCCCAATGGGGGATATGCAGGAGGCAGCCAGTCAATGATTCTCTCTCATCATTGATGTTTCTATCTCTCTTTGCCTTTCTCTTCCTCTCTGAAATCAATAAAGATATATTAAAAAAAAAAGAATAGTTGGTCATATTAAAAGAGGTGAAATACAGTGAAAAAAATATTTGTCATCCCAGAAAAACCCCTTCCGTTAAAGGGAATCACTATTAATGTCCTGGTGTGTAAGGTAGGGCTTTAATTCTGTTACCAGAGTCCCCTTCCCAAGTTCTCCCAATATTTTGGCATAGAGCTCTTTGTGGTGGCCATCCTAGAAATAATGGTCATTTGAATCTTACCATCTTGGCATGCCTAGCCATTCTAGTTTGGTTGTGTTGTTTACGTAAGGCATTACAGCTTTAAACTAAAACAACTGCCCTCGAAGGACTGAACTTTAAACCTTCAAGGACAAAAGCCACAAACTCCGAACATCACTCCTCAACCTAGGATAATATTAAGCAAGTGATTTCCCCTCTCTAGGCGCGATCCTGTTGTATCATGTTAATTATTTTCAGAGCATGTCCTTGGTTTCTAACTTCTTGGTTAATGGAAGAGTCCAGGTTATAAGGTTCAAACCTATAAAATGATAAAAGAAATATTTGGAAAGGGATATTTTTGTATTTCACTTAGGTAAAAGACCTTCAAATTTAGTAATCTTTAAGATAAGTGGAATTTGTTTTATTTTATTTTGTTTTTTGATATAGTAAATAGTCAAGTTAAGTGTTTGTTAAATACAGCACTCTAGAAGAAAATACCCTGTTACTGTTATTTTAAAAGTGTTGCTACCAAGTGAAATTGGAGGAGTACCTGGTTTTGAGTTCTGCTTTGGGAATTCTATGAATGAGTCGTGTATGTAGACCATCAGTATGTGGAAACTGCCTGGGAGTGAATTCATTCATTCATTTGGGCAATGCTGACAGAATACCTACTGTTTGCAAGCCTCTGTCAGTGATGCTGCTGTTATCCAGTGCGAGAGCAGGTGTGGGGGCAGGGAGGCAAGTAATAAACTGAATAATCTGACCCTTAACTTGTGGATGGCAGTAGATATCTGAAGGAAATAGATACATGGGTTGCCTGGAACAGAGTGAGGCCTAGACCTAGGCATTCACAGCTCTGAGCCCACAAAGTGACCTTCCATTATCTTTCAGGTAGGCGGGGAAGGCTTTGAGAGCACTTTGGATGCTTCATCGTTGGACTTCAAAGTACCTTCGGTAAGTGACCATCTGTTTCTGCATGATTGGAAACTTTACATGAGTGGTTAGTTTTCCGTATTTGGAAACGATGTGTAGGTGTATGTGCAAATGATTGATTGAGGATTGATATTGAGCTGGGTGCTAAGGATAAGAGGTTGAGGGCCAAACCGATCAGTTTCAGGATTTGCAGTCTATTGGGGGCAGGGTTAAGAACCAGCAAAGAATGTAATGGAAGAGAAGTTTAAGTAGTTGGCCAACCTAGAAGGCTTCCTGGAGGAAGTCCTGTTTGAATTAAGGTCTGACATTGGTCAGGAGTTAGCCCAGTAAGGAAGAAAAGAAGACTTCGGGGACATGGCTTATTGTAGGAATGGCGTACACAGGGTAAGGGCAGAGGGGCAGTGGGGCTGCAGAAGCAGGTGGGCCTGACTGCCAGTGTCTATGGGTGGGGAACGGATTTGGCAGGTGTTCTTGTTTTCAGTGGGAAGTCAGGGAAAGGTTTTAACAGGGTAGAGAGATGGTTTTAACAGGTTCCAGTTATAAATAATAGATTATGTTGGGAGAAACACATTTTTTTCTCAAGTCCGGTTTCGTGTATAAAGCAGTGGCCATCTGTGTAACTTCTGCCCTGACTGTGGGAGTCTGCCAGCTGCAGAGGCATTAGATCAGCTTAAAACTTGGGTTGGGATGGTCAGACTCTGAGTGGAGAATTGAACAGGCTCAATATTACCACTGCCTTTCTGCTTTTGCTGGGGAGAAAATGGCAAGTGATTGTATAATGGAGTGCATTGTTTTGAGTGGATCTGCCCAGTTTTTAAGTGCCTTGTGGCTTTGCTTTCTCTTTTCTTTTTTATTATTTATGTATTTATTTTTATTTATTGTCTAAAGTTTTACATGTGTCTCCTTTTTCTCTGCTTGACCCCCTGCCCCCAGCCATTCTCACCCCGGGCAAGCCCCCACCGCCCCAGTGTCTGTGTCCATTGGTTATGCTAATATGCATGCATATAAATCCTTTGGTTGCTCTCTACTCCCCCCGCCCCCCCTTTGCCATTTGTCTCTGGATATATTCTTGTTCATCAAATTATGTTGATCATTATTTTCTCTTTTCTTTTTTAATTAGGATATTGAAGAACCACTCTTGGAGCCAGGTACTGATAAGAAAAACACAACAGTTATGGTTTGAAAGTTTTTCTCACTACATTTTTTTCAAGCTGTCTATATATTTTATGCTGTATTATGGTGTTGTAAGTGATTTTAATGGTGGACAATCCAGATCGTACAAGGATCAGAGATTGGAAACCCATTCATATCACCAGATCTGTGGAACTGCTGTTCTGGTTTCTAGAGGTCAGATGTATGTGGTGAGATGTAGTGATTTCATCTCTCTAACCACATAGAGTGGCATTTACATAATTTCTCCTTGTGATTCTTCCATGTGTTTCTACACATGAAACAGATCTTGTGATATTTCTCTGCAGTCAATTTGATTAATACAGTTAAGGCAGGATAAAGCAATTGTCAGGGAACTTATAACCTGAGAAGTGACTGGATTCCAGAAGAGGAAACAGAGTTTCTTCATGAAAATTTCCAGCATGTTATTTCCCTTATGGACTGCGTTTATCTCTCGCCATCTGAAGAGTTTCTGGTGTTCCTATTGGACTGTTCTGTTAAAAGAAATTCAAAGAAATTTGGAAATTGAGCTGTCATTGAATGATGACTGCATTCGGTCAGCACCTTGGACATTGGAAAAATAAGTCAGAAGACCCAGACTTGAACAAAACATGAAGAAGACTGTTGAGAAGCAGCCAAGTGGTTGTAGGTGTTTAAATCGGTGGGGGCCTGTTCCATGTAGCGTAGCGGCTTACTCTAGCAGTCGGTTGGAGTGCAGGTAGTGTAACCAGTGTAACGTGTGTACCCGCGGGTTTTCCAATCTCTGTGTAGCTAGCAGTTCTCTTCGTGTTAGTGTGGCAGCCGTGCCAGTTCCACATTTGTGATTGCTTTATTTCCCTGGTAATTAAACCTTGTGCCATTCTATTCCTGTTAAATCCGTAGAAAATGAGAAAATACTCGACATTTTGGGGGAAACTTGTAAATCTGAGCCAGTAAAAGAAGAAGGTTCCGAGCTGGAGCAGCCATTTGCACAGGATACAAGTAGCGTGGGGCCAGACAGAAAGCTTGCGGAGGAAGAGGACCTTTTTGGCAGCGGCCACCCGGAGGAGGGTGATTTAGATTTGGCCAGCGAGTCAACAGCACAAGCTCAGTGGAGCGAGGCAGACACCCTGTTAGCGGTAGTGAAAAGGGAGCCCGTGGAGCAGACAGGCGGTGACGAGAGGATGGACTGTGAGCCTGTAGGGCTAGAGGAGCCAGTTGAGCAGAGTAGTAAAGCCTCAGAGCGCACAGAAGCCTCTAGCGAGGAGGTCGCAGAAGCGCCCCAGGAAGCCTCAAGCCCAGACCCCAGAGATAGCAAAGAAGACGTGAAGAAGTTTGCTTTTGAAGCTTGTAATGAAGTCCCTCCGGCTCCTAAAGAGTCCTCAGCCAGTGAGGGCGCTGATCAGAAAATGAGGTTTGTTTTTTCTCAGTTTTAGACCAGACGCTATCTCCTTTTCATTGGTCGTTTAATGACACACATAAGCTGTTTTTTCTACAATTGGCCAGCCAGACTGATGAAATTATAGTTTACCTCTAAAGAGTGTTTTATTTCTCTTTGTGTATTTTTAGTGGCTGATTGGATTCCTTTTCTTTTTCTCAACCGACTATGGTTGTGTTCTTAAATTGCTAAGTGTTCTCTTCAGTTAAATCGAATTGACTTAAGAATCTGATATTGTATTTTGGGGGGCCAAATATCCAATATAAGCTTGCAAAGATGTCTTGTTAAAATTTTATTTCAGACTAATTTTCTGGTAGGTATCAGTTTTAGCACACATTATATTTTTAATTTAGTTCTCTTGTTTTTTTCCTTCATGATTAACATTAACTTTTGTCTCTAGTTCTTTTAAGGAAGAAAAAGATATAAAGCCAGTCATTAAAGATGAAAAAGGTATGCTTTAACTTACATGGTGGGGAACCACCTATGGATCCCTTGGCTTAGGAGGGAGGGGCCTGGAAATTGCCACATTCTGGAATTTACAGTGAATCCTATTACAACTCTATTCTCCATTGAATACTATAACAAGAGTTATAGAAACTGCTATCTTGGATGAGATTTGATCATTGAAAGACATTTCAGTTTGTAATAACCTGGACATGATTACTCCTCAAGTAAGAAAACTCTGTTTTCCCCATCCAGATTTTTATCTCTGTCGTAGGTGTTGACAATAATTAAATTCTTGAATTAAAAGTGGAAATTGAAAAGAAAAAAGAAGCGTTGGAATTGGATGTGGTTAGGGTTTAAGAGAGAGCCACATTTCAGGAGTGGTCATGCTTTCTATTATTCCTGATGGCAAAGCATAATCTTCTCTCTCCTGCTCCAGGTCGTATCAGCAGCAGTTCTGGTAGGAATTTGTGGGTCAGTGGACTGTCCTCCACAACTCGAGCAACAGATCTGAAGAACCTTTTCAGCAAGTATGGAAAGGTATGCTCTCCATTATGTCTGTCTTGCTACCCAGCCTCAATTTAGCATTAAAAAATATACTCAAGCCCCGCTGGCATGGCTCAGTGGTTGAGTGTCAACCTATGAAACAGGAGGTCACAGTTCAATCCTGGTCAGGGCACAAGTCTAGGTTTCGGGCTCAATCCCCAGGAGGGGGCGTGCAGGAGGCAGCCAATCAGTGATTCTCTCATAATTGATGTTTCTATCTCTCCCTCTCTGAAATCAATCCTATTAAAAAAAAAGGCTAATATGCAAATCGACAGAACAGTGAAATGACTGGTTGCTATGATGCACACTGACCACCAGGAGCAGCTGCTCAACGCAGGAGCTGCCCCCTGGTGGTCAGTGCACTCCCACAGGGGGGGCGCCGCTCAGCCAGAAGCCTGGCTCACAGCTGGTGAGCACTGCAGCAGTGGTGGGAGCCTCTTCCGCCGCTGCGGCAGCACGACTGCTGATGTCCCCTGAGGGCTCCCGGTCTGCGAGAGAGCACAGGCCAAGCTAAGGGGACCACACCCCCATCCCCCACCGAGTGCATGAATTTCGTGCACCAAGCCTTTAGTAAAAATATATACTCAAGAGTTTAGAACCCTACTTCATGCTAATTTTATTGTGGGTCATTTCTAATTTAAGAAAAGGCTGGAGGAGGAAATCCTCAAGGGGGAAAAACTCACCTGGTTTCGGATTTGAGGATTTTTTTTTCTATTTGATAGCGGTTAACAGGCAAAACAGATAATCATGATGTAGAACACTATGCCGAAAACCTGTGTAAATAGCTACAATATGAATGTTCTTGTGGTTCTTTCTAACTTCTCTTTAAGAAGCTGCTATATCTTTTGGCTTATACAAAATTTAAAGCTGGCATGCTGAGGGTTTTTTCCTTAACAGTAAGTTAAGTGTTGGCTTTTATATCTTATAGCATCTTAAGTATATACTTTAAAAACTAGAACGTGATAGTGGTTTACAAATAAATCACCTAATATGCTGCTAATTGGGAGGAGGTGGAAAATAATACAGTTCTAAAACTTTCCAAGGAGCTTAAAGGACTTTTAAAATAAAAATGATTCTGTTGCTTTGGAATTAGGTGATGAAGCAATCTTTTTATAAGCCATAGAGACTGCCCTGGTCTCTAGGATGCCTGTGGGAAATGGCCCTCTAAGGGGGGAGGTAGGGGACAGTGCCTCGAGGAGTTGAGAACTTGCAGGATTCTAGGCAGAGTTTCTGAGGCTGACTCATCCTGGCTGCTCAGTCATATCTTTGCTCAGATCCATGTCACCCAGTTGGTATTGGTGAGTACATTAGTGACTTGGGCAGTATGGGTCCAGAAGAAGCATTCAGAAGGGCTTGGAAAACTATTAAGCTGTAACCTACTCATTTATTTTGTGGACCTCTTTCTGAACTCAGGTACTGATTATAAAGCCTAAGCAAACATATAAGGTCCCTGTCATTATAGGTCTTACAGGCTGGTAGAAAAATCATTTACAGAATAAACATATACAACACATTCAATAAGTATGTTAAGGAAAATTATAGCGTGTCAATCATATATGGTAAAGAGACCTAATTTAGATTTGGGGGTGTGGGTTCAGCAAAGCTTGCTGAGGAAGCCATATTTGGGGCAAGACCTGAGTGATTGGAGTTGAGCATGCCTGTGGAACTCGGTTCTGGGTAAAGGAAGGCCCAGTAGTGGGACAAGGCTTTGTAATGTGGATGAACTCATCAAAGGCTACTGTGCAAAGCTCCAGGGCAGAGTGCAAGGGGGAAGGAGGAGTGGGGAGACAGGGATATGTGAGCTTCTCATGGTATCTGCCCTTATTTGGGTTTAACTGTCATTGGAAATGATGCCCTTGCAAGGATTATTAGTTTAATGGAAAGGTCAAATAACCCCATAATTGACTCAGCCCCTTGACCTTCAGGAGAAGTAAGAATGCAAAGCTGCTCTGCTCTGAGAACTGACACTGTGTCTTCAGCAGAGGCTTCTTTCACCTTTGTCCCTGTATGGCGTGCTCTGGGCTTCTGCAGACAGAGCAGCACTTTTCCATCGTGGCAGCAGAAATACAAACATCAGGGTCTACAGGGACCCTAGAGAGCATGGACCACTCTCCCCACCCTTTTGTCACAGTTGGGAACACGTACAAAAAGAAGAGATGGCTTGTTCATGTTGACCCACTTAATCAGAGGTGGTCAGAGCCAGAACCCAGGGCTCCTATGTCTCAGGGGGTCTTTGCACTTTCAAAGGGGGTTGGCCTTACCCTCACTTCATATGTCCTGTGGGAACATTTGTGCAGTGGGCTTTAAATCTGTGATTTGGTTCTGTGTTTTCTTTCTCTTGTTCTTGAATCATTTATTCCTTGTTTATTTGCCACCTTTTGCATTGGTTATTTTTTATGATTTGTGGCTTATTACCTATGACTCTATGTGTAACTAGTTGGCCCAACTGGAGTGGCTCAGTGGTTGAGCATTGACCCATGCACCAAGAGGTCCCTGGTTCAATTCCTGGTCAGGGCATGTCGTCCACACCCCACCCCTTACCCCCTTGCAGGCTGGATCCCTAGTATGGAGCATGCAGGAGGCGATCAGTCGATGTTTCTCTGTCATTGATGTTTCTACCTCTCTCTCCCTCTTCCTTCCTCTCTCTGACAGCAATAAAAAAAACACGCATAACTTGTTGATATTATACCAGTACCGTACAACTGCCATTGCCCCCTCTCAGCCTTTGTGATGTTGTCATTATACATTTTACTTCTATTTAGTAAACTACACAGTATATTATTGGCTTGTTTCTTGGGTTTTTAATTTCTCACGTGTTCACAATTTTGAGTGTTCTTTATTTCTTTTTGTTTCTATCCAAGTTCCCACTAGTTAATTATTCTCCTCCCTCCTTGAACATTTCTTTAGGGCAGGGTTGCCGATGAGGAATTTGTATGTCTGCAAGTCATTCTTTTTAAAAAATATGTGTTTATTGACTTTTTTAGAGAGAGCGGAAAGGAGAGAGAAACATTGCTGAGAGAGAAATATCAATCAGCTGCCTCCTGCACTCCCCCCACTAGGTAACTAGTCTGCAATCTAGGCCCAGGGAATCAAACTGGGGACCTCTTGGTGCATGGGACAATGCTTAACCAACTGAGCCACACCAGCCAGGGCTGCAAGTCATTCTTTTACCTTTTTTTGCAAGCTGTTTTCATTGGTGTGGAATTCCAGATTGGTTGATTTTCTTCCAGAAGGCAAAGCTGCTCTGCTGCCTTCTGGCTCACATTGTTTCCAACCAGTTGGCTGTGCTTCTCATCTTCATTCTTAACACACATGTGACTTTTCTTCCTCTGGTTGCCTTTAAGATTTTATATTTTTCACTGGTTTGGAGCACTTTGCTGATGATGTGTTGATTTTGTTTGCTGGTTTTTTCCCCGAGCTCCTTGCCTTCGAGGACTCCTCACATTGCCCTACCGGTCAATATTGCTCCGGTTTCTTTCGTTTCAGTCTTTATTTTTTCCATTTCATTTTGAGTAGCTTCTCTTACTATGTATTCAAGTTTCCTAATCTTTTCTTTTGCGGTGTCTGTTGTTAATCCCATCTAATATATTTTTCATCTCAGAAGTTCATTTTGAGTGGTTTTAAATTAGCGTCCATTACCTGACATGCACAGTTCTTCCTTTGTCTTTTTGAATAACTAAACCAAGTGCTTAGTATCCTTGGTCCACTAATTCTGTCATTTTGTCATTTCCCAGTCTGATTTTATTGGTCCATTTGTTTTCTTCATTAGAGTTGGACTTTCTTACTTCTTGGCTAACCCAGTCATTTTTTTCTTTTCTTTTCTGGGCTAAACTATTTTAATAATTTGATGAGCTACAGCTTTTCACATCACAAAAAGTATTTAATGAAAAACAGTTATCCCCTGTTTTCACATTCCTTGTCTCATGAGAATTTAGAAGAACATTTTACACTTTGTATCTTTAAGGCACTGTATTTTCAAGAGTTCACACTAGAAACTGACAAGTCTTCTTCCAATTAAGGAGCTGCACACTTGGGGTGTTTGGTCAGCTTGTGGTATTTCTGAGCGAGGTCAGCAGACTTCTGTCCTTGTTGAAAGGGGAAAGACCACAAAATTACATTCCATTGATTTCCCATTTTAACTCCACAGAAAAGGTAATTCACTTCCTCCATAAAGTTTTTACGAATTTTTCTATCTTACAGATACAGTCCTCCCAAATGGGCTTCATAAGTATTCCTCCAGAGGTAGTGTTCATTGCTGAGTTGATGTCTTCTACATGGGGTCAGCAGAATTTCAGTCTCGGTGTGCTTTCTTCTTTACTTCTCTAGTTGTAGAACTTCCATTCAGCCATCTTTCAGGTGGTTCTGAATGATGGTTGTTCTGTATTTTAGTTGTAATTTTGATTTGGTTGTGGGAGGCAGCGAGTACCAGTATTGACCTACACGCCACCTTGGTTCTCTTTCTAACCCAGTCTTTTTTTTTTAAATTAATATATTTGTATTGATTTCAGAGAGGAAGGGAGAGGGAGAGAGAGATAGAAACATCAATGATGAGCCCTGACCAGTTTGGCTCAGTGGCTGGAGCGTCGGCCTATGGACTGAAGAGTCCCAGGTTTGATTCCGGTCAAGGGCATGTACCGTGGTTGCGGGCACATCCCCAGTAGGGGGTGTGCAGGAGGCAGCTGATCGATGTTTCTCTCTCATGAATGTTTCTAACTATCATATCTCCCTTCCTCTCTGTAAAAATCAATAAAATATATATTTTTTTAAAAAGGAAAGAAAAGAAACATCAGTGATGAGAGAGAGAATCATTGATTGGCTGCCTCCTGCCTGCCCCCTACTGGGGATTGAGCCTACAACCTGAGCATGTACCCTTGACCAGAATCGAATCCAGGATCCTTCAGTCTGCAGGCCAGTGCTCTATCCACTGAGCCAACCAGCTAAGAGTAACCCAATCATTTTTTATTGGATACCAGGCATTGTGACTTTTACCTTGTGAGCTAGTTACTCTTAAATCCCTGCAAATGTCCTTGAGTTTTTGCTGGGGCACAGTCCAGTCACTTGCTCAATCAGTGCAGAGGCTTGCTGTTAAGCTTTGTTAATCAGGCCAGAGCTCAGGGCTAGCTTCATCCACTCCTGGGCAACATCCTTCTGAGTGCTCAGCCCAATGCCCATAAATTACAGGCTTTTCTATCCAGCCATTGGGTTCATTCTGGGGGAAGTGGGCCTTTTGCAGCACTGAGTGAGCCCCGGGGATTGTTCCCTCTGCTTCTGCAGGTGGTCATCTCCTAGCCTTGGTGGTTTTCTCACACATATGCGCTACTCAGGACCCTATACCAGGGGTGGGCAAACTTTTTGACTCGAGGGCCACAATGGGTTCTTAAACTGGACCGGAGGGCCGGAACAAAAGCATGGATGGAGTGTTTGTGTGAACTAATATAAATTCAAAGTAAACATCATTACATAAAAGGGTACGGTCTTTTTTTTTTTTTTTTAGTTTTATTCATTTCAAACGGGCCGGATCCGGCCCGAGGGCCGTAGTTTCCCCACGGCTGCCCTATACAGTTCTCCGAATGTCTCTCTGTGTGGTACTATGACTGGTTACTGCTTTAATCTCCTCAGACTCTGACCTGTGCTCATCTCAGGGATATCAGCCCCCTCAGTTCCTCCTCCCTGCCCATGGCCTGGAATCTCTAGGCCAGCGGTTCTCAACCTGTGGGTCGTGACCCCTTTGGGGGTCGAACGACCCTTTCACAGGGGTCGCCTAAGACCATCGGAAAACACATATATAATTACGTATTGTTTTTGTGATTAATCACTATGCTTTAATTATGTTCAGTTTGTAACAATGAAATTGGGGGTCACCACAACATGAGGAACTGTATTAAAGGGTCGCGGCATTAGGAAGGTTGAGAACCACTGCTCTAGGCAGTAAGAATGGGCAACCATAAGGCCCTCATGTGTTTCCACTCTTGCAGGTGTCACCATCCTGTGTAGCCTGGTGCCTGGTGTCTGAAAACCCTTGTTGCTTACACTTCCTCCCATTTTTTAGTAGTTTCAGGTAGCAGGAGAGTTAATGGTTGGTTCTCCAGGCTGGCTGGAAGTGGAAGTTTGCTCTGTATCTGTGTCAGAGGTCTTCTTAGCCTTGATCCTCATAGATTGGGGTGCATTTCTGAGTAGATATCGCCTCTGCTGTCCATGGATAGAATGGAATTAGAGAAAATGATCTGAGTGGGAAGGGCTTTTGATTAATTAACAAGTTGTCATTAGTGAAGTTTAACTGTCTTTAGCTCTCCCTGTTTTTTTGTCACTGTAGAGCTGATCTTGTATCAAAAGCAGTTGCATTTTGATAGGTCAGTTATTTTTAATAACTAGGAAGAACTGACAAATCCTGGAGAAGTAAAAGATTTTTTTTCCAGGTTACTTATGCTTATTTGTTTAGCTGTGGTCATAGGGATTATCCCAATTTTCCATAAAATCCTCTTGACCCTGCTGCAATATCATGGCATAAAAGACTCAAAGTGCCACGAGACAAAAGGACAAAAGGTTTTGTTTTCTTATTATTAACCATGATTTTGGATAATGTTTGGGAACATTTTATATAGATGGCCAGATGAAAGATACCAAAATGTCTAATGGAAATAATTTTGATGATCAGTTAACTGCTAATAATTTTTTACATTGTGTGATTATTTGTATGAGAAAATAAGAGTGCCCTTTCCCATGAAGGTTGTCGGAGCCAAAGTGGTGACCAATGCCCGCAGTCCTGGGGCTCGGTGCTATGGCTTTGTCACCATGTCGACATCTGATGAGGCTACGAAATGTATCAACCATCTCCACAGAACTGAGCTTCATGGAAGAATGATCTCCGTAGAGAAGGTAAGGCTGTCCTTGCCTATTCTAACTCATGAACTTTACACGGGGGAAGACCTAGTCCATGAGCCATTTCTATCTGCATTATATTTTTAGGCCAAAAACGAACCTGCTGGGAAAAAGCTGTCCGACAAAAAGGAGTGTGAAGTGAAGAAGGAAAAAGTATCTAGTGTTGACAGACATCATCCTGTGGAGATCAAAATTGAAAAGTAAAGTAATTTTTTTTAAATACTTTTTTTATTGATTTCAGAGAGGAAGGGAAAGGAAGATAGAAACATCAATGATGAGAAAGAATCATTGATTGGCTGCCTCCTGCATGCCCCCTACTGGGAATGAGCCTGAAACCTGGGCATGTGCCCTTGACTGGAGTTGAACCTGGGACCTTTCAGTCCGCAGGCCGATGCTCTATCCACTGAGCCAAACCAGCCAGGGCTAAAGTAATTTTTTAAACACTTTCTCTTGGGATGATGGCTGGGAGGAGGGCAGGTGGCAGCCACAGGGTCGCTCATGAAACAAGCATGTGTCCTTTGCATAAACAGCCTCACCAGCTTCTCATTTACATCACAGGTGATTTTTGCATCTTGCTGCTACTTCAGTATTTAGCTTTCAACAGATACTCATTTCATAATGCTAAAAAATGGATTCAGATGATTTTTTTTTAATATATTTTATTGATTTTTTACAGAGAGGAAGGGAGAGAGATAGAGAGTTAGAAACATCGATGAGAGAGAAACATCGATCAGCCGCCTCCTCCACATCTCCTACTGGGGATGTGCCCGCAACCCAGGTACATGCCCTTGACCGGAATCGAACCCGGGACCTTTCAGTCCGCAGGCCGATGCTCTATCCACTGAGCCAAACTGGTTTTGGCCAGATGATTCTTAATAAGTATGTACATCTAACCTAGTAGCCTGTTGAAAAAACAAAAACAAGAATAACATTTTTTTATTTATTAAATATATTTTTATTGATTTCAGACAGGAAGGGAGAGGGAGAGAGAGAGAGAGAAACATCAGTGATGAGAGAGAATCATTGATCGGCTGCCTCGTGCACGCCCCCTACTGGGAGTCAAGCCCACAACCCAGGCATGTGCCCTTGACTGGAATCGAACTTGGAACCTTGAGTCTGCAGTCCAATGCTCTATCCACTGAGCCAAACCAGCTAAGGCAAAATTTATTTTTTATTCCAAACATCTTGGGCCCTTGCACAGCCTCTGAAAACTTGGAATCATTTCATGGTCCAAGTTGATTTTCATGTGAATCTTGCTTTTTATCCCAGCAACTGCAAAAACCCAGCTTTGCAAAGATAACATCGTTATTCAAAGGAATGTAAGCTGGTTGAATATTGAAATGAGCAGCCTTAAGCTAGTATTTTGTGCAGCGCCTGGCAGTTGTCAAGTATTTTTGTGTTTCCCTCAAAAACTTGAAATATCCCAGAGTACCTATGAGTTCACTGTGGTACATTGGGGGTACCTTGGCATAGGAATTGGGGATCACAGGTCTGAGATACTATTTTTATAAAGGAGGTGATTTGTAGAAATAGGGACAGATCTTTCACAGCAGGCATTGATTATACTTTTATCAAAACAATATGCTTGCCCTAGCCAGTTTGGCTCAGTGGATAGAGCGTCAGCTTGCAGACTGAAGGGTCCCAGGTTTGATTCCGGCCAAGGGCACATGCCCAGGTTTCGGGCTCCGATCCCCCAGTAGGGGGTGCACAGGAGGCAGCCGATCAGTGATTCTCTTTCATCATTGATGTTTCTGTCTCTCTCTCCCTCTCCCTTCCTCTCTGAAATCAATAAAAATATCAAAACAAAACAAAAGCCATATGCTTGTCTTTGGGGTAGGTAGAATTTGGTGACGTGCTTGATAACAGTGGTATTCTCAGAACACTGTGTGTCTGTTTTACGTTTATATTGTCAACACAATTTATTTCCACTTCCAGGTCCACTTGGCATTCTAAAAATTAAACCCTTTGCTAAGAATCTGTAAATTTCACAGTAATTCCATTTTGCTGGGTTTTTTTACATAAGAAAATTTATAGTTGAGTAAACATGGCTGTGGACATCAATACGCATAAGTTGGGCTTGGTTTTTAATGGTGTAATTGCTGGTCTTCACTGTGACCAAGTTAGAAATTGTAGGCCCATGAGAAATGGCTATCAGATGAGCCTTCGTGTACTTAGAAGTAAGACCCATGATTTTATCAGCAACTTCTTGAAAAAGGGACACATCTATTAGCAGTGCTAAAAATATCTATTGTTAGAATATGGGAAGCTATTGAGAGTTGTTGGTTTTCTTAGTGTCTTGAGATGCTTTTCGTTCGTTGATTTTTTGAATCACAGAAGTGAGATGTGTTTGTGGCAAAAAGAAAGGGGATAATAATCAGCTAATGTGTGTGTGCGTGCAGGGGAGTCCCTTAGTCCCTGGAAGAGTCCTGTGAGGTCTGCTCTGTGTAGAAAGAAGAGGAAACTGGCCCAGAAAGGGGACCCAAGGTCACACAGCTCAGCTGGCAAGCAGCAAGGCCAGAATTTAGTCCTAAGCTGTTGCCCTCAGTGCTGGAGCACTTAACTGGGTGATGAGCTTAAGGTGTTTAAAAACAAACGGCCTTCAAGTGGTTTGCCCAGGTTGAATATTTCAAAATTTGTTTTTAACCTTATTTATTTCATTCAAATAAACACCTTTTTAACCTTTCCTTTTATATTAAGAATTTCTAGGCTTAATCGTCAGCCTAAGTCAGTGGTTGGCAAACTTCGGCTCGCGAGCCACATGCGGCTCTTTGGCCCCTTGAGTATGGCTCTTCCTAAGCCTTAGGAGTACCCTAATTAAGTTAATAACAATGTACCTACCTATATAGTTTAAGTTTTAAAAATTTGGCTCTCAAAAGAAATTTCAATCGTTGTACTGTTGATATTTGGCTCTGTTGACTAATGAGTTTGCCGACCACTGGCCTAAGTGACATGGAGAAGCTTGTCCATAGAGGTGGCTTGTCTTTTTTTTTTTTTAATATATTTTATTGATTTTTTACAGAGAGAAAAGGAGAAGGATAGAGAGTTAGAAACATCGATGAGAGAGAAACATCGATCAGCTGCCTCCTGCACACCCACTACTGGGGATATGCCCGCAACCAAGGTACATGCCCTTGACCGGAATCGAACCTGGGACCCTTCAGTCCGCAGGCCGACGCTCTATCCACTGAGCCAAACAGGTTAGGGCTGGCTTGTCTTGGTTGTCATGGATTAGTAGTGATTTCTCTATAATTGTCGTTTAGAAAGCACACACTGAAGTCAGGCAAAATACCACTACCTGGTGGGAACACTTTTTGGTATATGTCTCTCCAGCCTTTTTTCCTATGTGGAGGTGTTTTCTTTGTTGGTTTTCTTGTGTGGGGTTTTTTTGTTTGTTTGTTTTTAACTTAGTGTTATCAACAAGTTCGTTGTGTCTAGGAGGTGCCATATGAGTACAGAACAAGTAGGGAGAGGTCTCCTATTGAAACATTTTTCAGGTCTCCTTGGAGGGAGGAGGCACCACTGCAGAATAGTGGAAGAGGTACATCAGAGATGATTCATGGTGGCTTTATTTGCAGTCATATAGTCACTGGAACCAATCTCTAGTCTATCATAAGGGAAATGGAAATAACTGTGCACTGTTGTGTAGCAGTTGAAAGGAACCAGATCTGTGTATATATCCACACAGACTAACCTTTTTAAAAAAATAATAATTTTATTAATTTTAGAGAAGAAGGGAGAGAGAGATTGAAACATCAATGATGAGTGAGAATCATTCATCAGCTGCCTCCTGGCATGTGCCCTGACTGGGAATTCTGGTTTGCAGGTCAGTACTCAACCACTGAGCCACACCGACTGGGCCAGACTAACCTTTCAAGCAGTTATTTTTCAACCGGTGTGCTGCAAGAATTTTTAAAACATGCAGTACCTGACGATTTAGTCAAGGGTACTGGCCTCTTTTTCCTTAGATTGTCAAAATAAAAAATGACAACAGCCAACTAACTCACCAATAGCCATTTGGTGTGAATGAATCAAAATCATACCTTTTTTTTTTTCTCTTTGTCACATCGGCAAAAAAATACATTTTTTGGTGTGCAGCAGAATTTTAGAAATTAGTTTGTGTGTGCCATGAGCTGAAAAAGGCTGAAAATCGCAGCTTTAAAGCATGAGGTGAAAAGCGCTAAAGAGCAACATATCAAGGCCCATCCCAGTATGTTAGTCTCCAGAAATGTCGTAAAACATCCCCGAAGATCTTCAGGGTTATGTGAAAGTATCCATAAAGGTTCGAGAGGTGAGCACATGATTGACAGTTATGGCACCATGGGTGGTGATGTCTTGTCATGGGGATGGGACAAGTGTATCTGTGACCTTCACTGCATCTATACTATTGTACTGTAAGGGAAACCTGCCCTGGTTGTTTTTTTCTCAATGGTTTTTTTCTCATCTGCCCGGGGACCAAAGGGTCGAGTGTTTGATTCCAGGTCAAATGGCACGTACCTCAGTTGCAGGTTCCCCAGCCCTGGTAGGGGCATGTGTTGGGGGCAAGCAATCGATGTGTCTCTCTCACATCGATGTTTCTCCACCTCCTCCCTCCCTTACACTCTCTAGAAATCAATGGAAAAAATATCCTCGAGTGAGGACTTAAAAAAAAAAAGAAACCAATATGTTAAAAACATTTACAGCCCTAACCGGTTTGGCTAGGTGGATAGAGCATCGGCCTTCGGACCGAAAGGTCCCAGGTTCAATTCCGGTCAAGGGCATGTACCTTGGTTGCAGGCACATCCCCAGTAGGAAGTGTGCAGGAGGCAGCTGATCAATGTTTTTCTCTCATCGATGTTTCTAACTTTCTATCCCTCTCCCTTCCTCTCTGTAAAAAAATCCATAAAATATATATATAAAAAAACATTTACAATTGTCAATTTTGGCACACACCATCACTGATTATGGTATGTGCTTACATTTTTTAAATCTTCAGATTAAAAGTTTTTCTCAAAATGAACATTAATTTAAAAACACAGCTTTGTGCTGTGGAAGTCTAGGAGAAAGGAAGAGTGAACTGAGAGGGGTTTCTTTGGCCAGTGTGAACTCTGCTCAGGTTGTAGGGAAAATAAGGCAAGAAGTGCTAGTTAGAGAATCCAGCGGGACCTGGCTTTCCTGTCCTGGAGCTTGGCACATGGTGGGCATTTAATGACTAGAATTTAATTGCCTGAGACAAACACCATTAGGAAATATAGAAGACATTTTAAATGGCAGCAATGATTTATTTCACCACTTAGAAAAAAACTTCCTTGCCTGGCCAGTGTGGCTCAATGGTTGAGCACTGGCCTATGAACCATGAGGTCACAGTTTGATTCTCAATCAGGACACATGCTGGCGTGGGCTTGAATCCCCAGTGGGGGTTGTGCGGGAGGCAGCCGATCAATGATTCTCTCTCAATGATGTTTCTATCTCTCCCTCTCCCTTCCTCTCTGAAATCAATCCTATATAATAAAAGCCTAATATGCAAATCGACCGAATGGAAGAACAACTGGTCGCTATGACTCACACTGACCACCGGGTGGCAGATGCTCAACGCAGGAGCTGCCCCCAGGCCAGCCAAGGCGGGTGCCAGCGCGCCCCGCCCACCCCCTCAATTGCCCCACCAGTCGCCCCACAGATTGGCCCTGATCACCAGCCAGGCCTAGGGACCCTACCCGTGCATGAGTTTCGTGCACCAGGCCTTTAGTAAAAATAAAAAAGAATAAAACTGGTCTGGCCGGTGTGATTCAGTGGTTGAGTATCCACCTATGCACCAAGAAGTCGCTGGTTCAATTCCCCATCAGGGCACATGCCTGGATTTCGTGCTTAATCTTAGCAGGAGGCAGCTGATCAATGTTTCTCTCTCATCACTGTTTCTATCTCTCACTCTCCCTTCCTCTCTCTCTAAAAAGCAATCAAAATATTTTTTAAAAAACAAAACTGCCTTTGGTTGAAATGTTAGAGTTTCCATATTTGCTGGCATATAACACAGCATTTTATTTTATTTTTAAACTGTTTTTTATTTCAGAGAGGAAGGGAAAGCGAGAGAAAGATATAAACATCAATGATGAGTGAGAATCATTGATTGGTTACTTCCTGTATGCCCCACACTGGGGGTTGGGTCTGCAACCCGGGCTTGTGCTCTGACCGGGAATCCAACTGTGACCTGGTTCATAGGGCAACGCTCAACCACTGAACCACACTGGCTGGGCTAATAACATAACTCCTCAAAGTATGCAGATATTGCTGGGTACCAAGTGTTAGTGGGTAGGTTGCTCACTGCTTCATGCTGTAGGAACATCCCGTCCTGGTACTGTACCTCCATTCTATATTATATTATACCTGTTTGGGGAAAATTTTTTCCCTACAAAACTTAATATTCCACATATACAAAATGTTTCAAAATGAGACATTTGAAAATAGTTTTTCACAAGCATTCTTCCATCGTGTCTACTTGCATACCTGTCATATATATGAGTGCTTCTAACATCTTGGAAAAAACATCCTCATAAGCTTGCAGTATTATCCTGCATATTTCGAGATGTGACAGATAACTTAAGTGGGAATAGGGGCTGTGTCTGAAGAGGAGAATATTACCACAGTTTTCAAATAATTCTCCCCATCCACTTGCCGCTGGCCTGGTTTGTTTTGCGCATCAATCTGAGCGAGCAAACTGCTCCTATTAGAGTCTCAGGAACTCAAGTTTGATAACCATGTTTTTACATAGAACTGTAATTAAGAAGGAAGAGAAGATGGAGAAAAAGGAGGGGAAAAGGCCTGAAGACATTAAAAAGGAAGAAAAAGATGAAGACGAGCTAAAACCAGGAACTACAAATCGGTCCAGAGTCACCAAATCAGGTGATTAGAGGCTAAGTGTTCATGAGGGGGGAAGAGCCGGTCAGAATGGGCTGGTAGGTGTCATAATCAAGTAGGTACAGCGAGCTTTTTAGTGACTTTGCTTAGTTTTGCTGCTTATAGGAAGCCATTAAAGCAACAGAGCCTCAGGTGATGAGGTGGCTTAAAGGAGTTTCTACACAACAGCAGAAATGCAGAGATATTCTGGTCAGTGATTTAACTGTACTGGCAGCTCAGTGACCAGGGTTCTTATTTTTCCTGAGTCTTTAACAGAAAAGGGGGGGGGGGTGCCAGAGGGGTATGTCCTAGTTCTTGTAACTCAGTACAGTTCTGTAGGTGTGTAATCTTATTTTTCTTGCCTGTATGGTAAAGCCAGTTCCAATGAAAAACAGAAAACGAAAATCTTATGTCTGTAGACTGTGGAGTAGGAGCAGTTGCACTTATAGTGTGCCACCTCTGTTGTCATATAAAAATTCCTTGCACTCTGCACCTTCAAATTTGCATGAGGCTCCACAGAATGTTTTGTGGCAAAAAGAAAAGAAAAGAAGAGAAAGCCTATCCCCTCCCCTTTCCAAAAAAGAAAACCAGAAACAAAACCTGACCATCTGGAGCACTGGGATTTGGTGCAGTGCATTACAAGTTAGATCTTAATCATTGGGGTAATTGGCCAGCAGTCTCATGAGGAACATGTTTTTAAAATGTTCCTGGAGTATTGCAAATTTCCCTATTCCATGGTTGTTCTGGCAGTTAGAGCCTGCTTAGCTTGTTGTGAAGAGGAAGAATTGGTGTAGAGCCTTTATTGCTGAAGACTGATGAAGGGAAGTCCACTTTGGGGGTGGGGAGGGGCTCCCTTGGAGCCAGCAGTATCTAATTCAGAGCGCAAGAGCCTGGTTCTGCAGAGCATTCCACAATGTGTGATAGGAATAAAAATTGAAATTGGTTATCCTGGAGCCACTAGGACTGAGTATGAGGGGTAGAGGCAACAAACCTACAGGTGAGATTTGTTTATGCACATGTTGCAGAATGCACTTTGACTCAGATTTAAGTTGTAAGATGCAGGCAAGTCCATTCTAGATGAGCAAAGACCCAAACACTGCCAGCCATTTTCCACCCAGTGTAGCCATATTGGTAGTGCTTCTTTTTTGGTAATCCTCACTAGAGGATAGTCTTTCCTTTGGATTTTAGAGAGAGTGGAAGGGAGAGAAGGAGAGAGAGAGAGAAACAATTTTTTTTCATCATGAAGACAGGGACAAGACACAAAGGCTTCAGCGTTAGCATTAGTCACTTGACAGCTGGGGGTGGGGGTGGGGGGCAAGAGCCCCCAGCTGGCTTGTGTATATCAGCACATTTTCACAGATTGCTGTGTTCTTTCCTGAAGGAAGCAGAGGAATGGAACGGACAGTAGTAATGGATAAATCAAAAGGAGAGCCTGTCATTAGTGTGAAAACCACAAGCAGGTCAAAAGAAAGAGTGAGTATTGCTTCTGCCATCTCAAGGCCAGCCGTTTTTTTATTTGCATTGTGAAAACAACATTGTTTGGCCTTTAAAATTTTAAGAGTTCTTTGAAGTCCTTGGGAGGCATATTGTTAACTCTTTAGATTATGCATAGAAACATGAAATTAGATTCTAGAACTTATTTCAGAACAATGCTTACCCATGTTTGCTTTCCAGAAATGTGTTTGCCCTTCTCTGATTCTTTGTCAGGTTATACCATCTTCTAGGAGAACTGATTCCCAGTGACAGAGCTGGAAGGACAAGACCCAGGCTTTCCAAATCGGAGGCAGCTTCTACTCTTTGGCTAATCTAATAGCAGTTTATTCATTTTCTTTAGTTGATTTTCTATTAAATTAACCAAAAAGAAAAGTGGAGTCCACCCTAAAACTGTCATGTCATCAGACAACGAGCTACATTGCTTATTAACCTGTGCACATAGCTGGACAAGCTAGGGGCCTCTCATTTTGCTCTTCCATTCTGGAAAACAAACCCTCTGTTTCCCAGGTGAAGATTCCAGCCAATATGTTAATGAGGAGAGCAACACTTTTTCAGTGAATACACTTTTTTATGATTCACCCAAGAATACTTTGTGTTGTTAAGACTTAAGTTTTAAATTAACATTTGGATTCCATAGAGAGCAATTTCTAATGCCATTTTTTTCTATGGGCTACATGGAAATCATAAAATACAGAGAAATAAACAAAAAAGACCCATAAACTTACCACTCAGATGACTGATGTTAAAAAAAAAAAAGGTAGTAGTAATGTAAACATGATTAAAGCATTCAGATAGTATAAGAAGGCACAACATAAGCACAATGGAAGCCTCTTTTCTGCATGGGCTCCTCACACTTCTCTCACAATACTGTATACACAACACATTGTGTATGCTCTGAAACACCACCACTAACGGGTTCCTATAACTTGCTCTTGGACACTTTTTGTGCATAATATACTGAGACATACAGTGCTACTTTATAATTTAATTTTGAAATTGTTGCAGATTCACAGGGAGCTATAAAGAATAGGACAGAGGTCCCATGTGTCCGTCACCCAGTTTTGCCCAGTGATTTTATTTCCTGTAACTAGCAAAATATCAAAGCCAGGAAGGTGATGTCGACGTACAGTGTGTATTCAGTGCTAAGACGTTTAATCGCTAGAGTAGATGGACATGTCCCGCCTTTGAAAACTGCTGTGGGCAGCCTTCCTATGCCTGCCTCTTGGCAGACTTGTAACCACCACTCAGTGGGATTGCTAGGTCCAAAGGTGTGTGTGTGTTGTTCTTTGTGGTAGATGTTATCAGGTGCCCTTCAGAAAGTTACAGAGGATGCTGGCATTCCTGGGGTGCGGAGCTTGTGCTGAGTCACCAGTAAGTGGCGAGGCCATGTTGTGACCAGGAGTACAATTTGAGGACTGTAGTGCCTGTTGGTCTCTGCACTAGATCGCATCCTTCCTCCGGAACCTAGGGTGGCTGTCCCTCCTCATTCAACCTGCAGTGTGTGTGATTACACTTTAAGCTCTGCCCGTCTCATAGATGAAGAATGTCCTATGATGTTTTGGGGGTGAATCTGTCCTCTATTTGTATGTCCCTCTCTATTCCCCCCAGCCCCCACAATCTCTCTTTTTTTTTTAAATTAAATCTTTATTGTTCAGATTATTACAGTTGTTCCTCCTTTTTCCCCCCATTGCTTCCTTCCACTCGGTTCCCACTCCACCCTCTGCCCTTACCCGCCCCCCCCACTGTCCTCATCCATAGGTGTACGATTTTTGTCCAGTCTCTTCCCACACCCCCATACCCTTTTCCCTCCCCCCCCCCGAGAATAGTCAGTCCATTCCCTCTCTATACCCCTGATTCTATTATATTCACCAGATTATTCTGTTCATTCGATTATTTATTCACTTGATTTTTAGATTCACTTGTTGATAGATGTGTATTTGTTATTCATAATTTGTATCTTTACCTTTTTCTTCTTCCTCTTCTTAAAGGATACCTTTCAGCATCACAATCTCTTTTTTTAGTAGAAGAGCTGGTTCTAATCTTTGCCTATCTTCCTTCCAGGTTGCTTTGTCTTTCATTGATTTTTTTTTTTTAACCCCCTGTGTGGGCTAATTAAGAAATTAAGCTGAACAGCATTTTTTTTTTAAGATTTTAAATTGATTTTTAGAGAGAGAGGAAGGGAGAGGGGGAGAGAGAAAGAGAAACATCTTTGTGAGAAGAAAACATTGATCAGCTGCCTCCTGCATGCCCCCACCAGGGATTGAATCTGCAGCTCAAGTATGTGCTCTGACCAGGAATTGAACCAGCGCAACCTTTTGTGTACAAGATGACACCCTTAACCAACTGAGCCACACCGGCCAGGACAGAGCAGCTTTTTAAAAACGTGGTGTCCCAGACCCTGTCCTGTGTAGGAGGCCCTGGGTTCTGGGCTATGTGAAAGCTTCCTGGGAGAGTCTGACTTGTGGCCAGTCTTGGGTGTCTCAGCCTCTGAGAGCCTTAAAGATGTTAGTTGGCCATCATTGTTTCCTACCTTATGCCAGAAATAGAATAGGCAAGTCTCCCATTAATCTTTTCTACCTTATTACAGTACAATACCTTGGATTATTCTGTTTTAAGGCTGTCTGCCTGAGCCCTGACCTAGCACTTGAGAAGTGAAAGATGCAGTCCTTCATCTTATTGTCCAAACAGCTGGCTCAACAGCTGCCCCCCAGTGACTGAAGGGGCCATGTGGCTCTGCTACACTAGAAAAACTGCCTGTAGGTTTTCTGAGGTTTCATCCCATCTTTTCTCTTCCCTTAATATCCTTTGCTTACAAGATTTAAAAGCCAGACTATAGGGCCCTAGCCCAGTAGGTCCGTTAATGAGAGTGTCGTCCCGGCACACCAAGGTTGTGGGTTTGATCCCTGGTCAGGGCACATACAAGAATCAACAGGTGAGTACATAAATAAGTGGAATAACAAATTGATCCTCCTCCCTCTCCTCTGCCCCCAAAAGCAATTTAAAGAAAAATTAAAGACAGACTATGGGGTGAGCAATGTGGAGTGAAGCGGCCTGTGCTGGGGCCTCCATGTAACCTGAGTGCAACTGAAGAATCAAAGTTTAATCCAGATAATGCATATTTAACTTTCATTGTGCATTTGTTGTAACCATTTTTCTGACATTAATAAACCAATTTTGGCGAACAGAGCTCCAAGAGTCAGGACCGAAAATCAGAAAGCAAAGAGAAGAGAGACATCTTGTCATTTGACAAAATCAAAGAGCAAAGGGAGCGAGAGCGCCAGAGGCAGTGGGAGCGGGAAATCCGAGAGTCGGAGAGGCGGCGGTGAGTGGGCTGAGCCAGGCTGCTGGGCTGCTGGGCTGCTCTGGGGATGGTTGTCCTTTCTCCCCAAGTGAGTCTCCTCTGTAGCCTGGGCTTGCAGGCCATCTTGTGTGTTTCCCCTGGGCCAAAAGCATAGTATGATATTCATCAAAAGCCTTTTTTTTTTTAATTGAATTTATTTGGGTGACATTGGTTTATAAAATTACACGGGTTTCAGGTGTACGATTCTCCAGTGCATCATCTGTGTATTGAATGTGTGTTTACCTCCCACCATCGAAAGCCCATTTCTGCTGAGCATTTCCTCTGGCTGACGGTGGGCCCCGGCCCATGGAGCCCACCCAGGGATGGCTTTGATGGAAGGGTCCCAAGTGTCGAGGCCTCAGTCTTCCCTCTGGAAATGTACATAAGTAAGATTTTTTTAAAAAGGCAACCAAGGAATGTGGCAATTTTATTGGAGATGTTATAGGAGTGGCCTCTTCACCCCTGGATGTCTGCAGTTCATGGCCTTTTCAGGCAGCAGGGGTCGCAGTCATGTTCTTTGCCCCTCTCACCTTTTATTAAGAAGATAGTTTATTGAAGTAAGCCTGGCATTTCCCCTTCTGTGTTCTGCCATATCCTGTCAAGACATGTAGAGCCCCCTTGACATTTCCTTCCAGTGGTGGTCCATGAAACAAAAGGTTTCCATCACGGTGTTTGGAGAACTTACTTGAGCTAAAGTAGATCACATACAAACCTCTTAAGTATGCTACGTTTGCTTTTATCTGAAGTCATGTGATTTCAGCTCTGCCTGTGTCACTTTAGAAAATAAAAGCACATTGAGAAGCCTTTTGATTCCATTCGGAGGTATTTTGCTTCGAGCTCGCTCATGCTTGGTTCGGAGCCTTTCCAGGCCCTGGTGGAGTGTGCCACAGCATGTCCTTTTCTCACACAGAGGGGTGGTCCCAGTCTCTGCTCAGCTCCTGGTGTGCCGTGACTGCGGACATGAGACCTTTTCCCAGCTGCCGGTGCCAGGCCAGCATACAACCACCTCACGAGCCTTCGCCTGTCCCCACACCTTCCTAGGTCTATTCAAAATGACACTCATTTAAAAATACAGTGTTTTTAGAGGGAAGATGTAGAAAAGAGGTGGCTCATTGTACAGCATTAACCTGCAACGGAGTACCCCTTCACCCCCAGGGAAAGCTACTGTAATCGCTTCTTAAGGGTTTTCTCTATACACAGCAGTTACCCTTTGCTTTTCTAATTTTTTCTACTTTACTGATGTGTGGCTTTATTTGGGGGCCTTTGAGCCAAGTCCTCCTGGCCTGGACCTGAGCTCTGTGTCTCCTTGCTGTCGCCTCCCAGCCCACCTCTGTCTTTTTTGAGGAAGGGAAAGTTTGGACATTGGGGCTTCTGGCTGTTCCAAACAACTTAGTGGGAGTGCGTAAGCACCTGCCGTCTATAGCCTGGGCCCAGGCCAGTGAGCATCCAAGAAACCCAGAATGGCCAAATGGAGGTATCCTGGCCCCTTTGGAGGACAATGCCTCGATAGCCAGGGACCTTTACGGTGGGAAGTCAGCGTGGCCTTGCTGTGTCCCTGCAGAGAGCGCGAGCAGCAGCAACGCCTGGAGGCCTGGAAGGAGAAGGCACGGCTGCACCGCCTGGAGGCCTGGAAGGAGAAGGCACGGCTGCACCGGGAGCGCCTGGAGCTTGAGTGCCAGCGTCACCTCCTGGAGTGGGAGCGCATGGAGCGGGAACGGCTGGAACGAGAGCGTATGCGAGTGGAGCGTGAGCGTAGGAAGGAGCAGGAGTGCATTCAACGTGAGCGCGAGGAGCTGCGGCGTCAGCAGGAGCAACTGCGCTATGAGCAGCGGCAGGGGCTCCGGAGGCCCCATGATGATGGGAGGTAGGGTCCAGCCCACCTCCCATTCCAGGAGCTGCTTTGGCTGCTGTCCATCTGAGTGTTGGAGAATCGGGGCTATTTAACACGCGATTTGCCTGTCCAGAACTTGTTGCCCTCACCACCATGAGTGTGTAGTTTAATGTCACGATCTTCTGGCTGTGCAACTTTCTCCCCAGCTGAGTTCATTGGAGAATCTTTTTTTTTTTTTTTAATATATTTTAGTGATTTTTTTTTTTTTTAAGAGAGGAAAGGAGAGGGATAGAGTTAGAAACATCAATGAGAGAGAAACATCGATCAGCTGCCTCCTGCACACCTCCTACTGGGGATGTGTCCGCAGCCAAGGTACATGCCCTTGACCGGAATTGAACCTGGGACCCTTCAGTCCACAGGCTGATGCTCTATCCTCTGAGCCAAACCGGTTAGGGCCATTGGAGAATCTTGATGGTTCCAGTGCTGAGGGGTTTGTGATGCTTTCGCGTAGGCCGGGCCTTTATTTGCACTGTGCTTCCTGGTGGAGCATCACCACCCTCCAAGTGCTGCTGCAGGAGATGACCAAGCGTGCATTAGGCCCGCATTGGCCACGGCCGCCACTCCATATTGTGTCCTTGTAGGCGGGGGAAAGGCACAGAGTCGGCACTGTGGGAAAGGACATTGCCTTCTGTTTTAAAAGTAGGTTTATTGGTCTCTAGCTTCTCTGAGCTGCTTAATTGTCAGTCACCCATCACCTCACCACCCATGAGCCTACTTTTCTGGTAAAAATCAGGAAGAAGATAATTGGATGCTGTCCTGAGCTGTATGTAGTTCACTATCACCTGATTTAATTCCCTTTGCCTTTTGCCAAAATCTCAGGGGGAGGTTCAGGTTATAGAAGATGGGAAGCTGAAAACGTGGCACCTCAGAATGCCAGTCCTAAAGAATCAAGTATTTTATTTCACTTGTATTTGAACTCAGGTGGGGATCAAGGTATTAACAGCGTTATGACACAATTAGCTCACAGCAGTCTGATGTTCAGAATTGTCAGCTGAGAATACTCATGCCTCTTGGCAGTTTTGGGGATATTAATTTATCAAATCAAAGTGATAGTGATTGAATGTTTAGAGATGAGCCCTGCAGGACATTTTAAATGATGCTGGGTCTGGAGAGAGAGCTCCCCTCCCCACCTTCACTCTCTTTTTTCCTTTGTTCTCTTTCATAAGTAAAATTTACATCCTTTTTACCATAGGCGAGATGATGCCTATTGGCCAGAAGGAAAACGTGTGGCCCTAGAGGACAGGTACCACCCAGACTTCCCTCGGTACGATCACCGCTTCCACGACTTTGACCATCGAAACCGAGGCCAGTACCAGGACCATGCGGTCGACAGGTCAGTCCCCCACCCCCTTTTTGCAGTAGAGACAGGTCTCCCTCTGTTCTCTTAATGTCTGATTTACTTGTGATGTCTTAGTGGGTAGGCCTTGACCAGCCACACATGGGATTTAGAAACATAGGCCTTGAGCAAAGTGTTGGAATCGCTGGTCAGTTATGGCATCCGGGACTTGTCTGGCAAGAAGGTCCCCCAGAGCTCATTTCATCCACTGTCCTTTGCACAGAGAGGATGGATGGGGCCCTAGGCAGGACCTGAGCCTCAGAATTCCCCAACACTCAGCTCTCTTGGGGGTGGCCCAGGCTCTGGGTTTCACACCTTCATAGAGATTCCTCCCTGTCCCTCCCGTCAGCACCAGCCCCCCAAGATTCACTATCACCCGATCTAATTCCCTTTGCCTTTTGCATAGTGGGGGAGGAAGCAGAGATGAGGAAGCAGTTTTTAGAAGAGGTGTGACCTGCCTAAGCTGGTGAAGGCAGAGTGGGCAGGAGGGTTTACTGACGGGTGTAGGTTTCCGTGCCAGCAAACTACAAAGAGAACTGACCAGAGAATGTGGGGCAGTTCTCACTGGGCCTTGTTTGTGTTTTGAAGATCAGGGTGGGTTTTTAGCCAGTGTTGTTTTCCTTTGCCATGCCTTATTTAATGAGGACTAGATTAGGAAGACAGCCCTCACTTTTCCAGTTGAAGAGTTCTCTCTCTTTGGGAGAAATCTCACTGGGCTCCCCTGGGCTGCATATCCTGGAGCCATTTCACCATTCATTAGCTCTCTGTAAGGGAAGAGAGAACAGGGAAAATGTGGCTAAAAAGCTACTTATTTAATTCATTGTGGCTGGAGTTGCTTTGAGATTTGGTGTGAATCAAATGTGTTGGGCCAGAGGTTAGGTTTCCCTGTTACCAGGCCACAGTTAAGTGAAGTCTTAGCTTCATTCAGGGGTGTCTGCTTCTGAGACCCTTCCCTCCAGGGTATTTCAGTAAAATTAATATTTCCACCTTCTTAGGATCTGACTTTACTCCCACCCCCAGGGAAAGATGTGAGCCAGCTTTAAAAAAAAAAAAAAATCAGGCAGTTCTTATATTGGGAAATAGAATGAGTACCCCAATTGTGGGTTTTGTGGGACCTGTAGAAATGTTGTATGGTACCATCAGCTGCCGTTGGAATTAGATTTTTTTTTTTTTCCAGGAGGGAGGGCTCAAGGACAGTGATGGGAGAGCGAGATGGACAGGTGAGTAACACACAGATATTGGGTGCCTGCTCTGTGTCTGGGTGGGCGGGGGAGCATGGACACGGCGTTCTAGAGAACGAGTAACACACAGAATTGCTTGTTTTCTGATAAGTGGGGGCTTTGTTCAGATGCATAGGGCTTGTTCTTGTTTCATTTTATCTAGCAGAAACTGCAATTAGCTCTTATTGCCAGCTTGCTTAGAGTGCCTCTGAGTCTCGGGACTGTGGGTACCCCAAATGGGGCATAGCGGCCTGTCAGGGGGTCATTTAACCCATGTTTTGGGGGGGTCCCTCTGTTTCTGGTACCTTTGGGATAGATCTCAGTGTCTCTAACCTGCTGATACCTGGTGAGGGATGCATAGGTGTCAGTTCAGAGAAAAGGGGAGCCTGCCAGGAGAAAGGCAGGGACAGGCATCAGCAGCATAGTTTTTAAAACAGGAGTGTGTTTGCTGAGAACAGTAGACCAGGCCCATCACTGCCCAGATGTGCTGGATTCCTGAGCACAGAACTGGTTGGCCAGGGCACTGAAGTTCTCTTCAGCGCTTGCCTCCAGTGTCAGCTACTGAGGGGCCGTGCCACCTCCATAGATTGATGGCAAAGGAGGAAGTGGGGGGGGGCAGGGTGGAAGGGGACCTCCTATCAGCAAGGAAGACTCTAAGTGACTTTTCTCAGTGGACCTCACAGGGCCAGAGGCTTGTGCTGGCACTTTGTGTGGCACCAGTGATAGAGCTGTAGGGACGCTCAGTTCTCAAGCAAGGAACCAAAGAGCTCTGCCAAGAGCTCTTCTGGTATTGTCAGGGTCACAAACAGAGCATCCAGCAACTAGCAAGATTCAGAATGGGCCTGGGCAGGTCCTTTCAGAGTGGCCAGAGGTGCTGTGGCACACCCTGGCCCACCCCAGCAGTGTGTATAGGTTGACAGGCCTTCCAGAGATGAACCTGTGCAGGCCTGTAGGGAATGAGAAGATGGCTAGAGTCACCCTGTCCTTCTGCCTTTCAGCACTACTCAGATGACCGCCATGGCCATGGAGGACCACCAGAGCGCCACGGCCGGGACTCTCGGGATGGCTGGGGGGGCTACGGCTCAGACAAGAGGATGACTGAGGGCCGGGGGCCACCACCTCCACCCAGGTTAGTGGGCAGGCCATGATGGTGGTGGGCATCTTCCCTTGGCTAGAGGCCCGCCCCTCTGAAAGTGAACTGTCTGTGTGCACCTTGCCAGGTTGCCTGCATCACCCCAGTTATGAACATCTATATCACAAGGCCCCTGCCTGCTGAAGGAGACATCCCTGAAGCCTTTCTTAGATTTGTCCCCCTAGACCAGCGGTTCTCAACCTGGGGGTCGAACGACCCTTTCACAGGGGTCGCCTAAGACCATCGGAAAACACATATATAATTACATATTATTTTTGTGATTAATCACTATGCTTTAATTATGTTCAATTTGTAACAATGAAATTGGGGGTCACCACAACATGAGGAACTGTATTAAAGGGTCGCGGCATTAGGAAGGTTGAAAACCACTGCCCTAGACAGTAGGGAAGCTTTACTCCCCCACATACACACACACACACACACCCCAAAGTTGTCTTTAGGAATTTTGAAGGCCAGCATCTTGGATACCAGAAGGTTCTACTTTATCTCTCGTGGGGTTTCAGGTGTTCAGTCTGATAGATTAATGCAAAGTGTGCTTTCCCAAGTGACCTACTTAGCACTCAGTCTTTAACATTTAAACCATTTTCCTTAAATACCTGTGGGAAATACAAATGAAAGAACTCTCTTTCTCAGACTGGAGATAGCCCTGAACAGCGTCACTGCATGATTGGGTGCTGTCACCTGTAGGCAGACATTAGAAACTTTCGGGTCTCACTTTTGGGGAGCAGTTTTGCATTTGCCCTCCTAGACGTGTTGGGGGCTCTGGTGGATTCCTAATCCTTGCCTCTGAGCACTGGTCAGCCCAGTGGCCAGTACACTTGTCATTCTAGAGTCAGCCTTGGTCTTATCATTCCTGGACAGTCATGATGACTGCTGGGACCATATTTGGATTTTAATCTCCCAGAATTTCTGCCTGAAACAGTTTATGTTTTTATTGATTTTAGAGAGAGGGGCAGGAAAAGAGATAGAGAGAAACACAGATTGGCTTTCTCCTACACGATCCCTACTGGGGATTGAGCCCACAACCTGGGCATGTGACCTGACTGGGAATCAACCTCTTGGTACATTGGTTGACACTCAACCACTGAGCCACACCAGCCAGGCTTTTTTTCAAACAGCTTTTTTGCGACATAGTTCACATGCCATACAGTTCACCCATTTAAGGTGTACAATTCGCCGTAGCCAGTTTGGCTTAGTGGATAGAGCATCGGCCTGTGGACCAAAGGGTCCCAGGTTTGATTCCAGTCAAGGGCACGCACTGGTTGCAGACTCCTGCCCGGCCTGGGCTCTGGTCAGGGCTCGTGCAGGAGGCAACCGATTGATGTGTTTCTCTCACGTCAATGTTTCTCTCTTTCAGTCTCTCTTCCACTCTCTCTAAAAATCAATGGAAAAATATCCTCGGGTGAGGATTAAAAAAATAAAATAAATAAAGTCTACAAATTCAGTGGCTTTCAGTATGTTCATAACAGTCTATTTTAGAATATCCTCACACACCAAAAAAAAAGTCTTGACCTGTCCCCATCAGCAGTCATTCCCCATCCTCTCCACCAGCCCCTGGCAATCACTAACCCACTTCCTGTGTTTCTGGATGTGCCTATCCTGGACATTTCACATAAATGGAGTCACATTCTTTTTTTTTTTTTTTTAATATATTTTATTGATTTTTTACAGCGAGGAAGGGAGAGAGATAGAGAGTTAGAAACATCGATGAGAGAGAAACATCGACCAGCTGCCTCCTGCACATCTCCCACTGGGGATGTGCCCGCAACCCAGGTACATGCCCTTGACCGGAATCGAACCTGGGACCTTTCAGTCCGCAGGCCGACGCTCTATCCACTGAGCCAAACCGGTTTCGGCTGGAGTCACATTCTTTATGGCCTTTTGTGTGCAGCTTCTCTCACTGTGCATCATGATTTCAAGTTTCATCCACATTGTAGCGAATGACAGTGCTTCATTCTTTGTTGTTTTAATTTATTGCTTTGAAAGAGAGAAACATTGGTTTATTGTTCCACTTATTTGTACATTCATTGGTCGCCTCTGATATGTGCCCTGACTGGAGATTGAACCCAAAACCTTGGTGTTTCAGGGACAGTGCTCTAACCAACTGAGCTACCTGGCCAGGGCCTTTTCTTTTCTTTTCTTCTTCTTTTTTTTAGTTTTGTGAGTTTATTTGAGCCAAACTAATAACATATGCTGGGAAGCAAGATATCAAATGCTCCCGCTTCACTCCTTTTCGTGGTCACATAACGTTCCCCAGTATGGATGGACCACGTCTTGTGTATCAGTTCATGAACTGATGAACAAACACTTGGGTTATTTCCATTTGGGGACTATTATGAATTACGCTTTTAAGAACATTTATGTACAGGTTTTTGTTAACATATGTTCCCTCTAGACACCTCGGAGTGGCATTGCTGGTTCCATGGTCACTAGGAGTTAAACCTTTTGAGGAAACGCTGCTGTTGTTTCCCCCGGAGGCTCCCCCATTTTCAGTTCCCACTAGTCGGGCGTGAGGGTTCCAGTTTCTCCACATCCTCACCAGCACTTGTTACCGTCTGTCTGTTGTTGTTTTGTTTTGTTTTTTTTTGTGTGTGTGTGTTTTTTTAATCCTGACCCGAGGATATTTTTTCATTGATTTTTAGAGAGAGTGGAAGGGAAAGAGAGAGAAACATCAACATGAGTGAGACACACCGATTGGTTGCCTCCCACACACACCCCAACCAGAGCCGGGAATTGAGCCTGCAACCCAGATACATGCCCCTGACCAGAATCGGACACCTGACAGGAATCAAACCCTCAACATTTTCAGTCCAAGGGTCGACACTCCATCCACTGAGGCAAACCTGCTAAGGTGATCTTTTGGTTTTTGTGTGTGTTTTTTTTTTTTTGAGAGAGAGAGAAAGGAAAGGAGAGAGAGAAACATCAATTTGTTGCTCCACCCATTTATGCATTCATTAGTTGTTTCTTATATGTCCCTGACCAGGGATTGAACCCACAACCTTGGTTTAATCAGGACAACGTTCTAATCAACTGAGCTACCTGGCCAGGGCCTGTCTGATAAGAGGCATGGAGTAGCTGGGATGGGGGTACATCTCAGTCATCTGGTTGAGATGTTACCGATGCTCAACACCTTCTTGTGTGCTTATTAGCCATGCATGTACCTTTGGAAAAGTGTCTGTTCCCATCTTTGCCCACTTGACTCTGAAACAGTCGGTACAAGGTGTGAAGGCTGAAGCCATGCCACAGTCTTCTCTAAAGGCATACTGGCATGTATCTACTTATTTTTTCCTTCCGTTACAGAGGTGGACGTGACTGGACGGAGCACAGTCAGAGGCTAGAGGAGCACCAGGAGCGTGCCTGGCCAGGCATGGTAGAGGCAGGCACAGCAGGCCGGGAGCATGCCAGGTGGCTAGGTATGGGCTAACTCCTGTCCATGAGTGGGGGTGGGGGGCTCCCAGGAAGGGTTGGCCAGTTCCAGAACTTTCCACAGGCCAGCCTCCCCCCAGCTTTTCCAGAGACTTCCAAGAAGGGAGTGTTTGCAGACTCTTTCTTCTCTTCCAGGTGCTGAGAGGGGCCTCTCTGGGCCCTCAGGGACAGGGCACATGGCCAATCGGGGTGGAATGTCGGGGTAAGAAGTTTTGTCCCCGGATAAAATTGATTTGTTCCTGCTCCTCACTTCCTCTCCCTTTTTTGCATGTTTGATCAACTTGCTGGGTTGAATGTTTTGAAAACAAACCCCCAAAGCAGCTCTTGGTAACTAGTGCAAATAACACTCTCCAGGGACCCGGAATGTGGTCTGTAATTAGGATGTTTCTCACCTGGAAAAAGCCACGTGGGTTCTAAAGGCTGCAGAGCTGCATGCCGCCATGTAATGGTGAAAATGTAAAGCACTTCAAGGGGACAAACGTGTGCCTTTGTTCCTAGGCAAGGCGGCTTTGCACAGGATGGGCATTCCCAGGGCCACGTGGTGCCCGGTGGAGAACTGGAAGATGGAGCACTGGCCGGCCAGGACCGGGGCAACAGAGTCCCACCCCCCCACCCCCATCCATACCCCCACTTCACTCGCCGCTACTAAACCCCACTCCCTCCGCGTGTTCAGGTAGGCAGATGCACTGTTGAATTTCTTAGCCAGTTACCTTGAACTTGTGGAATCTTTTAAGAAACAAAAACAAATCCTGCCACCATGTTGTAGCTTGGTAATATGTGAACTCATTTTTTTTTTTAATAAGCGTGTTCTTGTTCTGCCATTTTTGAGAAGGTTTCTGTAATGAGGCATTCCATTTTTCATTAATAAAAGTTTACGGTTCGCATTTCAGTGTGTGTTGTGGTGATTACAGAGCAAAGAATAGTACCGACCTTCAGCAGCACCATTGCACACTTGGGTGGTGGCTGCCAGCTCATCATACTTGAATTCTCCCAACCGTTGATAAAGTGGGCATCATCTCCCCATCTGAGAAATAAGGAGCCAGGTGCAGGGGCTAGGTCACGTGCCCGAGGTCTTAGAGCTTGTAGGTGGCAGAGCTGGGATGGGAATTGGGAATTCTTCATTGAGGGGGGAGGGGTGTGTGCCTTGTGGAGCCTCTGCCCAGACACTTCACTCCTTGTGCCAGAGTGCCCGGGGCAGCGTCCAGTGATGGTGTGAGGTTTGGGGGCCTGGCTAAGGGATGGGCACGTGTTGGCCCTGCAGTGCTTGGGAGCTGCCCTCGGCCCCCAGAGCACACTGTCTCTTCTAAAAGGGCTGCCTCTTCTCGGTATGGGCTCAGTGTGCCTGATCCCATCATTTTTCTCGAAGTGTAAATTTACATGTGAAGTCTCCTCATTTGTGGTAGAGTTGATTCCGGTTTTTTTCATTAAAGACTACAGAACAAGGCACCTGGCTGGGCAGAGGTGCCACATCACAAGTCCGAGCAGGCCCCTCCAGGGTGACACCACAGTGAGGTGCTTCTCTGCTAGAGGAGCAGTGGCACAGGCAGAACCGCCACAGAGAGTGGGTGACTGCAGGCATGTTGGGGCAGAAAAGCCCTATCCGTCATCTCATGAGTAGAGGTCTGGTGGCCGCAAGGCTGGGGCAGGAGGGAAGGCTCGCTTCCCACCATTCCTGGCCCTGGTCCAGCGTGGTAAGAGTTAATCCACTGTGCTACCTGCTGGGAACCTCAATTCCCTTCCCTTGGTAACTGGGACAGCCACCCCACAGGCCCCAAACAATTGCCAATTCTCCCTGAATATCCTGTGTTCCTGCTGGGCTGTTTAGTTTTAAAAGAGCAATCTGAAAATCTTCCCCAGCATCAAAGGCAGGCAGTGCTGGCCCCTCCGTGTCCTATCTGTTTGAATTGCTGCAAATAAACACTTTGTGAGCTTCCCCCACCACACGGGTTCGTAGAGTCATTTTCCAATGACAGGTTGACAGGACATCGGCCCCATGTTGCGGATGGGGGACGACATGGCATATTGCCTCCTGCACAGAAGTCTGTCTCTGCAAGGTATAGTCTAGAAATTGGTATCTGGGCTTTCTGTTTGGGGCCCGAAAAGCCAGACTTAGCCTGAGGTAGTGGGTGAGACCAGTTTTTAGCTGTTGTTATGTAGATGTCATGGAGCAATTACTCTGGCAGGCAGAGTTGCAACCTAGAGTGCCACCAGAGCCGCCACCAAGCTGCTTGAGGAAGCCTTGGAGACAGAGCAGGCTGTTCCCCCTGGACAGCCCCTTCCTAGTTAGCTGGGCCTTTTTTTGTGAATCTCACTGAAGGTATTTTTTTCATTGATTTTTAGCATAGAAGGGAAGGAGAGAGAGAGAGAGAGAAACATGGATGTGAGAGACACATCGATTGGTTGCCTCCTGCATGTGCCCCAACCAGGGCCTAGGATTGAACCTGCAACCCAGGTACGTGCCCTTCACCAGGAATCTAATCCTTGACCCTTGAGTGCACAGGCCGACACTCTAATCCAGTGATTCCCAAAGTGGGCGCTACCGCCCCCTGGTAGGCGCTGCAGCGATCCAGGGGGGCGGTGATGGCCACAGGTGCATTTGGGGGCGATGAGTAACTGCTATTAAAATTTTAAAAAAATTAATTTCCAGGGGCTGAGTAATATTTTTTCTGGAAAGGGGGCGGTAGGCCAAATAAGTTTGGGAACCACTGCTCTAATCCATGCCACTGATCCATGCCAGCGAGGGCCCAGCTCTGTTTTATGTAGAGACACAAAATACATTAGTTTGCTAGGGCTGCCGTAACACAGTACTGCAAACTATGTGGTTTGCAACAAATTTATTCTCTCCCAGGTATGGAGGCTAGAAGTTCAAGATCAAGGTGTTGGCAGAGCTAATTCCTCCTGGGGCCGTGAAGGAGAATCTGTTAGAGGTCTCTCTCCTTGTTTCTGGTGGTCGTTGGGCAATCTTTGGTGTTCTTGCCTTGTGGAAGCATCACCCCATCTCTGCCTCCTTTACCCAGCCTCCCTGTGTATTTGCATCCAAATGTCCCCTTTTTATAAGGACACAGTCTTACTGGATTAGGGTCACCCTAATGACATGTTACCTGTGTAAAGGCCTTATCTCCAAATGGGGTCACATTCTGAGGTCCTGGGGGCCAGGACTTCATATGGCTTTTCCCAGGGGTGCAACTTCTGGGTAAATTGGGAGAATTGCTTATTGTTCAGTACAGAACCTTACCAAGAGTTGCTCACCATTTCTGTGAGCAGAGCTGCTGGGGTCTCTGCCTCCCTGCTGATTCTGCTTGATGGGCATTGTCAGAATAGGTAGGTCAGGGGTCCTCAAACTATGGCCCGCGGGCCACATGCAAATACAAATACTGTATTTGTTCCCGTTTTGTTTTTTTACTTCAAAATAAGATATGTGCAGTGTGCATAGGAATTTGTTCATAGTTTTTTTTTTTAAACTATAGTCCGGCCCTCCAACGGTCTGAGGGACAGTGAACTGGCCCCCTGTTTAAAAAGTTTGAGGACCCCTGAGGTAGGTCCTTACCATCGTGCTCAGTGTCCAACACTCTGTTTTTTCTGTCTGTGTCTGATAATGCATCACATTGGTTGGATTGTTCCTTTTTTTAAGTTGTGTGTAGTTAGGTTATATTCACTCTGATTTTTATTTCAAGAGAGAAAAGAGGAGGTGGAACAAAATATCTGTTACATAAAAGGGGCTGCAGCCCTGGCCAGTGTGTTCAGTGGTTAGAGCGTCGACCTGAGGACCAAAGGGTCGCAGGTTTGATCCCCAGCCCTGGTGGGGGTACATGCAGGAGGCAACCAATCACTGTGTCTCACATCAGTGTTTCTCTCCCTCCCTTCCTTCCACTCTAAAAAAAACCAACGGGAAAATAAAAGGGACACTCAGGTTGTTCCATCCTTCAGCTTCTGTGAATAATGCTGCCACGAAGACAGGTGTATCTGCCGTTCTCCTGGGTGGATACTTTTAACTTTTGAGGAACCGCCCAAATGTGGCTGCACCATTTTCTATTCCCACCAGCCGTGCACAAGCTTTCTAATTTCTCCACACCCTTGCCAACACTTGTTAATTTCTGTTTTTGTTTGTTTTATTTTGCTTTTGTTAAACCTCGCCTGAGGATATTTTTTCATTGATATTTAGGGAGAGTGGAAGAGAAGCATAGATGTGAGAGAAACACATAGATTGATTGCCTCCTGCCCCAGGCCCCAGGCCAGGGAGGAGCCTGTAACCAAGGTACATGTCCTTGACCGAAATCGAATCCAGGACCCTTTGGTTCACAGGCCAATGCTCTATCTACTAAGCCAAACTGGCCAGGGCTGTTTGTTTGTTTTATAATAGCCATCCAGACAATAGAATACTATTGTACTCATCCTTAAAAAGGAAGGACATTCTGACACCTGCTACGAAGAGGATGAACCTTGAGGACATTATGCTCAGTGAAATAATCCAGTCACAAAAGGACAAATACTATGTGATTGCATTCATAGGAGGTCCATAGAGGAGTCAGATCTATAAAAACAAAGTATATGGTGGGCCCTAGCTAGTTTGGCTCAGTGGATAGCGCATCAGCCTACAGACTGAAGGGTCCCGGGTTCGATTCTGGTCAAGGGCACATGCCTGGGTTGCAGGCTCGATCCCCAGTAGGGGGTGAGCAGGAGGCAGCCGATCAATGATTCTCTCTCATCATTGATGTTTCTATCTCTCCCTCTCCCTCTCTGAAATCAATAAAAATATATTTAAAAATTAAAAAAAATAAAATACTTTAAAAAAAAGAAAGTTTATGGTGGGAGCCAGGTGCTGGGGTAGAGGGATGAGTAGTTAGTGTTTAATAGGAACAGAGTTTCAGTTTGGTAATATGAGAACGTTCCGGAGATGGATGGTGGGGAGGGTTGCACAACATTGTGAATGTACTTGATGCCATTGAGCTAAACACTTAAAAATGGTTACATTTGTATTTGATCACAATTTTAAAATAATTTTAAAGGTAGGGGATCTGTTAGATATTAGGAGTGAGAACTACTGGGGTATAAACTGAGAAGCCAGGCTCAAAAACCAGACTGCTTGGAATCAGCCCACCTGTCTGTCTGCCCATAGGAAGTTACTAGTTTTTCTCTGCTTTGGCTTCCGTAACTGGAAGAAGGGAATAGTGATAGTATTTACCATAGAGGGCCTTTGCTACGATTAAAATAATATAGCCCTGGCCGAATGGCTCAGTTAGTTGGAGTTTCATCCTGTACACCAAAAGGTTGCAGTTTTGATTCTGTCAGGGCACATACCAAGGTTGCAGGTTCGATCCCTGGTCAGGGCGCATATGGGAGGCAACTGATCAATGTTTCTCTCTCATTGATATCTCTCCTTCTCTCTAAAAATCAATAGACAGCCCTAGACAGTCTTCAGGCTTGATTCCAGTCAAGAACATGTACCTTGGTTGCAGGCTACTCCCCAACCTGGGCCCTCATCGGGGCTCGCGCAGGAAGCAACCAATTGATGTGTTTCACATCAATGTTTCTCTTTGTCTTTCCCTCGCTCTTCCAGTCTCTCTAAAAAGCAGTGGGGCCCAGCCGGCGTGGCTCAGTGGTTGAGCGTTGACCAGGAGCCAGGAGGTCATGGTTCGATTCCCAGTCAGGGCACATGCCTGGTTTGCGGACTCGATCCCCAGTGTGGGGCGTGCAGGAGGCAGTCGATCAATGATTCTCTTTCATCATTGATGTTTCTATCTCTCTCCCTCTCCCTTCCTCTCTGTAATCAATAAAAAGATATATTTCTGCCCTAACCGGTTTGGCTCAGTGGATAGAGCATCAGCCTGCGGACTGAAAGGTCCCAGGTTCAATTCTGGCCAAGGGCATGTACCTTGGTTGCAAGCACAT